AGGATAATATAAATACTTGGGCCAATTGTTAAGTTTTAAATAAAATAGAAAACTAAGAAAAATACTGCATCCAACTGTATGTGAAGTAGAAAACATGACTAGTCCTATGACTGTTAAAAGGAATAGAATCAGTGATTTAAAATTTCACAAAGAAACTGGAAGCCCAGTGTCTCTACAGGTGAGTGTTACCAACAGCGTAAGGAGGACATTCTAATAAAGGAGGCTTGTAGTTAACAGAAGAGTCTGTGCTTAACTAATACCAAAACTCTGACAGTACAAAAAGGAGAAAGTAATCAGCCATTCTCACTTGGGAACTTAGTTACAAAAATCTTAAGTAAACTAACGAACTCAATCCAGCAATGTTTACACAGATATCTGTTCCGAGTTGGATTTACACTGGATGGTGTAGGTGGTGTTGAGCAGTGAAATACTCATCAGGGTAACTCACCATATATGTGGAAGGAGGCAACCAATTGTTTTGGGAACATACAGAAATGTTTAATATTTTTTTTTTAGTTGTAGTTGTCAATTCCTTTATTTTATTTATTTATTTCTATGTGGTGCTGAGGATGGAACCCAGGGCCTCACACGTGCTAGGCGAGTCAACTACTGAGCCACAACCCCAGCCCCCAGAAATTTTTTTTAAATGAAATTCAACAACCATTTATGAAACTTGGCAAGGCAGAAAGAATTTCCTTAATCTAGTAAAGGATCTCTGAAAGAAAAAACAGTATCAGACTTGATGGCAAAAATATGACCTTTCCTTTCAGGAACAGGAATAACAAGAATGCTTAGCACCAACATGTTCATTTAACCTGTGCCAAGTATCCTAGCCAGTCAGAAGGCAGGACAGAGACATACAAAGGCACAGGATGAGGAAGGAAGAGGCCAAGATTATTATTTGCAGATCATTAAAAAAAATCCAAAAGATGGGGCTGGGGCTATAGCTCAGTGGTAGAGTGCCCAGCTTGCATGTGTGAGGCACTGGGTTCGATCCTCAGCACCACATAAAAATAAATAAAGATATTGTGTCCAACTACAACGAAAAATATATTTTAAAAAATCAAAAAGCACTGACACATCATATTTTGTCAATTCCAAGACATATTTTGAAATATTTTAACATCTCTGTAATTGGGCTGCATCTCACAATAGATGCTTCATCGTAATTGAAGCCTTCTTAAGAGTAATGGTATGTAAATGGTGTTTTTTATATGTGGTGGCATATTAGGTATATTAAAGTACATTAAATTTTCAGAATTTTTTTGAAAGCAAGTTGCTGATGCAATCAATATATAAAAAACCTCTAAGTATATTCACAAAAATAGCAAATGATTTTTAAAATTATCAGATATGGTATTAAGGTTATAAAAATGTTAGAGAAATATTGAAAATATTTAGGAGTCAAATGTGATAGCAGAACTATTTTAAAATACTTAAAAGAAAAACCCATAAAGACATATAGCAAAATGTTAATTATTATTAAATCTAGATGTATCTGATATCTGAGGGTTCACACTGATTTCATATATGTTAAAATTTTTACAACAAATTAATGATTTTTAGAACTGTTAATGTAAACTTTAAATACAGACATATACCATGTCCTTAAATTGAAGACTTAATGTTATAAAGATGTCAGTTTTATTCCATGTAGTTGAAAATTCCAAAAATTTGAATAAGTTTTTTTCTCTTTTTTAAGATTGAATTTGCATTGATTCTAAAATTTATATGGAGTTAAGAATAGCCAAGATATTCATTAAAGAAAAAGGTTACAGTGGGAAGGTTTGTTTCACCAGATACCAAAGTTAAATGAAATGAATCAATGTAGTATTGGTTCAGGCACAGACAGACCAATGGCACAGGACAGAGAGCCCCAAGGATTAGAATTATGCCAGCTAAGGAGACCCTCTCCCCCAGAGAAACATCTACTACTGGTCAAAATTAGCAAAGGCAATCTGTCATTTAAAGTCTTAATAGTAATCAAAAAACTTAACAAATTGAGAAGCATTTATTTATTCAACAAAATCTACAGATTCTTAGTTCTTGGTTACAATGGGCAGTATCCCCCTCTCCAGATCTGCCCTACATAGAGAACCTGTCTAGAAATACATAGAGGAAATTAATCAACTTTGCTCTTTCTCTACACACACACACACACACACACACACAATTTTGCACCCTACAACTAAAGAAAAAGATTTTTTGTATTACTGAAATCACTTAAAAAATATATCTTGTGGCCAGGTGCGGTGCTGCACACCTGTAATCCCAGCATCTAGGGAGTCTGAGGCAGGAGGATTGTGAGTTCAAAAGACCCTATCTCTAAATAAAATATAAAAAAGGGCTGGGGATGTGGTTCAGTAGAACACCCCTGGGTTCAATCCCTGGTACCAACTAACTAACAAACAAACAAACAAACAAATCTTGCACCAGGCCTGTAATCAGCAAGCTGAGGCAGGAGTATCACAAATTCAAGGCCAATCTAGGCAACTTAGTGAGACACTGTCTCAAAAACTTAAAAAGGTTGGAGTTACAGCTAGTGGTAGAATTCTCGCTAAGCAAGCACAAGGCCTTGTGTTTAATGCCCAGTTTAAAAAAAAAAAAATTCCTCACACGACAACAAACAATTTTGAAAAGTAAATGCATTACTAGGTTATATTCTCAGGTCACACTACAATACAATTAAAAGTAACTTTAAATTGCCAATAACAAAAACAAAAATCACAGAACAACCTTTACTTGGAATGTACCCAGCCACCTAAATAATCAAAGAGAAAATAAAAGCAAAATTATAATCTAATAATTCATGCCAAAATGTTTAGGGTGCTGTTAGGCTATAATTAGGTGGAAATGTATAACCTTAAATATCTTTATTGTGAAAAAAATGGAAACTAGTGCTTTTAATTAAGATAAGGAAAAGAACGAAGTTAAAACATAGAAAACAGATACAAATTAAAGTTGAAATTAATGAAAATGTTTTAAACATTGAAAAGAAATTCAAATAATGTATATAAATCCTGAAGTTGTTATTTGAAAATGTCAACAAAATTAACCCTCTTGAGAAACAATTAAGGAAGCATGAGCAATGGTTTGTTATTAAGTGTACTTGTCTAACGATCCCTCAGTAAGAAGGTGTGGGGCCCCTAACTCACACTATTAATAAACTACATTCCAGATGCCTTGACAAGCTGCTATTAGGCAAAGCCTGTCACCTTGACCATCCTACACACACACAGATATCACAACTACCCACTATTTCATCACCTATAGATGAAAACCCTAAACTCATTTAATCCTTTGAAATTGTTTCTCCCACCAGCTAATATCCCTTCCAGGTACATAAATCCACTTTGTTACTTTTCAAATTCTTAATTCTTCTGCTTTACAAAAGATAATGCCAAGAGAATGAGAAGGCAACACAGACTAAGAAAATATTTGCAAAAGCCACATCTAAAAACATCTATATCCAAAATATATAAATAATTCTTAAAACTCAATAGCAAGAAATTGAACAATCCAATTTAAAAGGGGCTAATGATTGGGTAGATATCTCACCAAAAATATACAGGTGGCAAACAAGAAGATGCCACTGCATACTTACTAGAATGACCCAAATCCAAAAATACAACAAATGTTGATGAGGATGTGGAGCCAAAGGAACTCTCGTTCATTGTTGATGAGAATGCAAACCAGACTAGACACCTCGGAAGATGGCATGGCAGTTTGCTACAAAACATACTGTTACATATGATCCAGCAATTGCCCTCTTTGGTAAACTGACAAAACCTGAAAGCAACCAAAATATCCTTCAGAAGGGGAATGGATAAATCAACTGTTGTACATCCAGCCAGTAGAATACTTAGCACTAAAAAGATATGAATGAAAAGCCATGGAGGAAGCCTACATGCGTGTTGGTAATTGAAGGAAGCCAGTACGAGGCAGCAATGTAGTGCATGATTCCAGCTCTAAATAAAACTATGGAGATGGTGAAAAGATCAGTGGGTGCCAGGGGCTGCAGGGTGGGGAGGGAGGAACAGGCAGAGCAGAGAGTTTTCAGAGCAGTGAAGCCGCTGGCACAGGACCTTGCAATACCTGTCATTATACAATTGTCCAGACCCATGGAGTAAAGCCCAGGTAAACTATGGCCTTGGGTGATAATGATATGTCAATGCAGGTCAATTGGTTGTGACAAATGTACCATTCTGGTGCAGGACATCAGTACAGGGAGGCTGAATGTATGGAGGTAAGCGGTGTATGGGAACTCTATGTCCTGCTCAACTTTGCTGTCCTCCAGGAAAGTAAACAAACAAAAAATTCTTAACCCTCTTTTCTCAAGTGTTCCCTGATCCTTTGTTGACAATTACTTACTTGAACTCTTGTCATCTCATATACAGGCAAACAGTTTACCTTGTATAAATGAGTATAAGGCCCATCTCCACAAGTGCCTTGGAAAGGAAGGTTCTTCCTGAGTCACAGTGCCATGCACCCAGAGTAAGTGAATCCAACGTGGTACTCCTCACAGGTCATGAAGGACCAGCCATATTTATGTTTTGAATTATCAGTATATTCTCATTCCTCAAAAACCACCAAAGAACATTGTGACATATTTTGTGTGGTGTTTGGCATAGAACACACCAGAACAGAACTTGAATAGCACTTCCTCCTTCCTGCCTCTACACTGTAATGTGCTCCTACCAGCTTGAGCTCTGAAATTTGCTGTAAGGCCCAAGAGAAATTGCATCCCATCATCTCCCAGGTCTTATAGACAGTGTGGCATAGTTACAGAGTATGGACGGAAGCCGTCCCTGCTAGCACCTTTCAAGTCAAAAAAACTTACATTGAAAAAGCAAAAATAATCAGGTTAATTTGATGGTTATGAAAATGAACCAAAACAAAAAACTCACATATAGGAATAACAAACATTTGATCCAGAACAGAAGGCTAGCCAAATAAGATATTCCAAGGTTTTCTTCATATCTGAAAAGAAATAAGCCCAATTAAAAAGACAAAAATATTTAATAGATATTCTGTACAACATCAGTACAAATTTACCACTTCAAAAAATATTATGGGGTTTTTATTAATCACTCATTCCCCACAATCAATCACCTTTGCAGTGTTCCTTCATCACTCATGAAGTTTTTAATACATACTTTGTTTCTACTTATACATATGTCAGTTTTATTAAGTATCTTGAACTTTTAACAACTTTCAACATTTTCAGGCATTGCTTGGACAGATGTCCTGATTTCAGTCACTTACCAGAACAAATTCTAAAAATGGGCAAGAAGTCTGAGATTGTTTTAAAAGGGACTAGACTTGTGGTCAGAGAGCCAATGCTGACTGGTGAGTATGCTACTAAGCACTCTACTTCCACTATGTTACAGAACAGCGGTAATGGAACCATAGGTCATAAGAAGAAGTCCTTATGGTAGCATCACAGCAGACCAAAAAAAAAAAAAAAAAAATGAAATCCCTTCCGAGGCAGCTGGTCATGATCAAGGTTATTTAACAGACTCTGCTGCTAACTTGACAAACCTTCCAGCTAATAAACATTGATTTAAGAAAATAGATGAAGCTATTCCAATTTTCTTCCATTCTTAAAAGAACTCTGGTGTGAGGACCATACATATTGCCAACTCAAAATCCAGTATATATTGTTCACTAAATGTGAACACCCATGATCCACTAATACTTGGTCAATTCTTTTTTTTTTTTTAAGATTTATTTTTCAGTTGTAGTTGGATACAATGCCTTTATTTCACTTATTTATTTATATGTGGTGCTGAGGATCGAACCCAGGGTCCTGCACGTGCCAGGTGAGCGCTCTACTGCCGAGCCACAACCCCAGCCCCCTGGTCAATTCTTTACTTGTAAATTTTCTTGAATTCCTAGATCAACAAAATTTTCTGTGTTAACAGTAACCATCAGATCTCAAGAGTGACCTGTCTGATGAGCACTTGTCTTAATGGAACTTTACCTTTTTGTTCTGTACCATTCATTTGCTATTTGCTAGTATCTAGAACAAGGAAAGACCTACAGATTAGGCCCACTGCCCACCTCTTGCAAGCAGCTTTTGTGGGGCTGATTCCCTCTGCTTTTCTGACTGGTTGTAAAATATATCTGCTTTCAAATTTGCCTGTGGTCTTTTATTGTTGTTTTGGTTTTGGTGGGAAAAGAGGGTACAGGGAAAACAGCATTTGAATGAAGAAATCTTCAATTCTGTTCCAGATTTTACCTGTTAGTAGCGATGTGCATCTTGGCCAATCATTTAACTTCTCCAAGCAACCCATCTTGCTTTCTCCCCTTTACTCTATATGATTTTTACCTCTGTAACAAACAAGAAGTGGACAACATAATCCTTTCAAGTATGTAAGTGCCATCAATGGCACTCTGATCACCTAATCAACATCTTCTGTGACTGCTCAACTGTGTACCTGTTCATCTCTGTGGGACACTGATTTTTGTTAATTTTCAGAAGGAGTGATATACACAAAATTTTGTTTGAGAACCAGATATGACTTACTGTCTGTTGACAGTGACAACAAAAACAAATCCAAAAATCTCAGAGGTCTTATTGGTAATGAAGAGTAGTATATCCTAGGTAAGATGACCATGATCATCCCAGCCAATAGCATTTGGTACAGGATGCCCCCTGTGCTGCATAAGGGACAACAGTATCACTGCTGTGATTGGTCATGTGAAAGACCTAAATATGGCAGGTGACTCGGTGAGATTTTACTGGTGAACTTATTCTAAGCAATAGTATATCTGCTCCAAATGAATTCTAGACCTTATAACATTGATCTTAAAATATGAAACAGTACGGTGATCTCAATTCTTGAATATTTGAGAAGTTGTGTTGGAAATGTGTAGGAAAAACATACAGAAAAAAATAAAAATAAACCTAATAAACAGATAAGCAAACCCAGATATAATGCCCTGGGAATTGTTATATACAGGGACACAGAATTCTTTCCTTCCTAAAGCCACAACCAGGTAGATAAGTTGAAACAAATAACAACGAAAATATTATATGTGCCAGGATGAGTTTTCACATTTGGTGCCTTCATGGGATTTGGAATACAAGGGGAAGAAAGAGTCCATGAGGTTTCAGTTAATAAGGACCAGAGGGTGGATACCACCTGCTGTGAACAGCACACCACAGCTCAAGACCACAGCAGTTTAAAGGGCATGCAGTGTCTAAGACATGGTCCAGGAGTCTTCGGCTAGTTTAAACTGAGGGTAAGCTAATGGTGTATGCTTTAGAACCAAGATAGTGTAAATCCCATGAGATTTACATATAATCAGGGGCACCTCTTAGAATTCTTGGGCATCACTTCAAGGACCCTCTTAGACACCAAAATCCACAGATGCATAAGTCTCCTATATAAAGTGGCATAATATTTGCACATAAGCCCATGCGTGTCTTCCCATAAATTATCTCAAGATTACTTATAATACCTAATAAAGCATAAATGCTGTGCAAATAGTTGTTAGAGTATAATGTTTAGAGAATAATGACAAGAAAAATGTCTGGTGTGTTCAGTACATGTGCAGTTTTTAAACAATAGTTTTGTTGAGTGGTTGGTCAAGTCTGTGGCTAAAGAACCTGCAGATAGGAAGGACTATCTAAATAAACAAGGGCTCATGGGAACATACAAGTCTAGACATTTGGTTGACCAAGTGTCGTGTCCATCTCTGATGTTTAAAACCTGGTTTAAAGTGGGCCAGGAACAACTTTTACTGTTCCCAACTACTTTTAGTATCATCCTTTATGCATCAACTTTCAGGTGGGTCACCTAAGAGTTATTCCAAATCTGTAAAATACAAACAACATGAAACAAGAACTCTACTACGTACACATAAAATTTGAACAACCATTTAAAATTCAACGGGAGAGAATTTCTTGGGCCTTATAGCTAGATTTCCTTCCTTAAAATTCACACACTGAACCTAACAGGAGTCATCCTGTTCCCCTGTGAGCAAATTTAAAATGCACAAATCTTGAATAAACCATATTCATAGCTGAACAATCTTATTGAAAAAAGAGTTGTCGTAAACTACACAAGAGTGACAGATGCACTAATGTTCTTTTCAGTGTGCCTTTAAATAAATGTCTGCTTTGCCCTGCTCAAGCCTTGCCTATGGGGAAGAAGGGCTCCATTCTGCGAAGGAGTGCCTTCAGAGTTGTCTGTCATGTTTTTGCCAGTGGGTCAAACACCTGCAGTGTCGTCCTCTTGTCTTTGTCACTGATGGTCACCCAGTGACCAAAGGTTTCTCCCCCATGGTCTAATGGCATCTTGCCCTCAGCAGCTTCTGAAGCGCTGACCTGTGCTGGGTCTCTGGGTGCCTTCTCAGGGCTCCTGGCCCCTGCATTCAAAGGATCAGAGCTCTTGGAAAGCCAGGCATTATTCAACAGCTTAGGGTAGTGGAGAAGGTTCCAGAAGGGATCCGGATAATCACCAAGAAGGGAGGCTGCTTCTGGCTTCATTACTCTGGAGCTATCAGTTTCTAGGCTTGTGGCAGATGTAGTGCCAAGAAAACCCACTTGTGGAAAGAGATTATCAGTGTCGGGCTGGGGTCCGGATAGACAGCTGCTGCTGCTGCTGCTGCTGCTACTGCTGCCGTTGCTGCTGCTGCAGGTGAGGTCTTGGAGGAGCTGGCTGTTGCTCTGCAGAACCTGCAGGTGGAAGGCTGCTGGTGCAGACTTCTTCCTCCTTGGGGGCACCCTGGGCACCAGAGATGGAGCCTCTGGAGCAGGTGGCATGGTGGCTCCTGCCATAAGAGGGGCTTCATCTGGCACTGGCTTTCCACTGCTGGGCCTCCTCTCGTCACCTTTACTGGGCTGAAATGTTCTTGGCTTGGGAACAGGAGGGACTCGAGGGGCTGTAGCCGGAAGAGGGGCTTCAAGGCTTGTCTCTGGGTCTCCGACTATAAAATGGACAGGCTGTTGCTCAAACTGTTCTTCTGGTGACATGGGCTAAGGAAAGGTAAAAAGAGTGTAACTAAGAAGCCAGCCTTTAGTAAGTTGAGACTCAGAACACTCAGTGGGCAGCAGGGAACAGGGAGGAGACTGAGCTGACATTCCAGCCAATTCAGGATTGGAGGAAGTCTGAGATGCCAGCAGTGTCACTAGGGAAGCACACATTGATCAGGACAGACCAGCATGTCCAATTAAAGAGGAGTGGGAATTTTGAAACCAGGGCCACAGTGAGCAATTTGAGACAAAATTGTTACCTTAGGAAAGGGAATTCTGCTCTTTCATTATGTAAAGCTAACCTCTTTGAAAACATTCCTGGAGGCCGCAGCTTTGCAGATACTTCATGCAGTCTGTGCCAACTCGGGAGATATGACATGTCACAGCATGAAGCTATATGAAGGACCAATGGATAGCCTTTCTCCTTGAATCATTTTTATTTAAATATGAAGAATGCAGAACATTACATAGGAACTTCACTTCCTTAGTTCTGCTTCAAAACTATCACAAAGAAATCAACCCACAGTTTGAAATGCAGCTTTGCTAGGGAAGCAATTCCTAGTGGGCAAGCATGGGTATCCCAGTGTCTCCTCTGGTTCTTTAGAAAACAAACCAGAAGCATGATCCTTTCTCCACCAGCCTGACACCATAGCTCCTGTGCAGCTGGTTGGGAAAAATGAATCTATTCTGCTCCTGGCTTTTAAAAGACAAAGCAAATGCAGGAAGGAAGAGGAAGGAAAGGGTCCATTTTGCAAGAAGGCATGGAAAATGGACATGTGGCAACGAGCCAACATGGAGAAGCGCAACCCAGAAAATACAAAGCAAGCTCAGCGAAGAGTTGGCACCAGGGCCACCTCTCACTCTCTCCACAGATAGAGGAGCAGCAGTCACTCTGGGAGGCCCAGGCAGGGATTACCGAGGGTCCTGTTCCTAGAACTGAGATCAAACGGAAGATCCGGATGTGTCTATAGGTGCCAGTCTCTGGGCAGCCACTGTCCTTACAAACTCATGTCTTTGAAGCAGTAAGCAAGGCTGAGAAGCTTGAGAGCGAGAGCAAAAAACAATCTGCAAGAAAAGTGGCAAGAAAAGCTGTCGGATCTCAACAGACTGCGGCCACGTGAGCCCTGGCAGAACTGCTAACCGAGACATCACTCATTGTTTCTCCAATGTTCGTAAAATCTGTGCATGTAAAACTACGTGCACATACCACACAGATGGCAGTGCCGGGCCACTTGGGAAAACACCCCACAGTGGTTCCTGTGGTGCCCAACACCAAGGAAGCAGAATCTCTCCAAGTCTCTCTCGTCACAGTGAGAGTCTCTGAAGGAGTCAGTGGCTTGCTTGTTCTTGCTCTGCTGGGGCCAAGATGCAGCAGAGGGATGAGGGAGAAAGCGGTTGTCAAACGGCTTTCCAGAAAGAAGCAGCTGGGTTTAGGACTCAAGAATGTGGGTGGAAAAGCCAAATTGAACTTGGTTTTTGTCTAAGAGACATACCTTAATCTAAGAAGATATTCGAGCAACTTCAGAGTGCTCCGGATCCCTACCTTTCCCGTCCTCCTCAAGGTTGGCTTCTTGATGACAGGAACCCTGGGTGCAGGCCGCTGGGGCAGGAGTGGGGGCACTTGGGAGGGCTCAGGTCTGGCCTCTAGTTTGGAGGATCCTTGGTCTCTCAGGGCCATGGCATTGAAGGCTTCTTCTGGGACGCCTGAGACAAAATCACAGGCTCAAGCATGAGGACGAGGCAACCTACTGTGTGATTTAATCTTTGGAAGTCTGTATCTTAATGATAATTTACTAATTTAGTGTACTTCTTTTCTTAAAAAGAAATCCTCAGAGATTGTCAGAATACACCAGCTGTGTCCAGCTTTGTATTTTCTGTGTTCACCTTCTCAATAGAGGTGGGACCTGGTACCCAGGGATGGTCTTGATGGGAGATCAGCGAGACCCTGACACCATGTGCAAAGTGTCATGCGTACTGACATTTTTCAGGGGAGATGACTTAAAATGTATCAAATCTCAATAGGCTCATGAGCAAGAAAATGTTAAGTTGAGAATGTGGGTAGATTTAAAATCTCAAACTACTAGCATCTACAACTGAGTTTTTTAAAAACAGAAGCTTTACTGAAATGTAATTTATATACCATAAAATTCACTCATTTTACATTAACATTCAGTGGTTCTTAACATACTCACAAACTTATACAGTAACTGCCACTATTTAATTTCAGAATATTTTCATTAACCAAAAAGAAACCCCATACCCATTTCAGTCACTCCCCATTCCCTCTTCTTTCTAGCCTGGACACCAAACTTTATTGGTATTGGGGGTTGAACTTGGGCACTTTACTGAACTACATCCTCAGTCCTTTTTACTTTTTTATTTTGAGATAGGTTGCCAAGTTTGTTGCTAAATTGCTGAGGCTGGCCTCAAACTTGCAATCCTCCTGCCTCCACCTCCTGAGTCACTAGGACTACAGGTGTGTGCCACCACACCCAGTTCACTACTAATAACTTTTATGGATTTGCCTGTTCTGGACATTTCCTATAAATGGAAATAACATACGGCCTTTTGTGTCTGACTTCTTTCACTTGGCCTAATGTTTTCAAGGTTTACCCACAGTGTACCATGTATCAGTTCTTATTTTTAAATGACAGAATGATATTCCATTGTATGGCTATACCATATTTGGTCATTTTATCAGTTAATAGGCATATGTGGGTTGTTACAGTCACAGTTTTAATTTTTAATAAAAATAAACCATCTGTGGTATGTAGTTCTACAATAGCCTTCTAACTCAACCTCCCTAAATTTATGTAAGAATCCCAAGTAGGTTAAAATACTGGCTCAAAACAAATTAGGTGACAGGGATTGCATATGCCTTTTCAATGGGCACAATCTCCCCTCTACAAGAGATTCTGTAACAAACCAAAACAAATGTGAATTACCAGTGATTAAATATGGGAGATTCCTAAGTAAACTATGATAACTTGGAGTAAGTGAAATAAGAAAAAAATCAACAGGCACTGTGGTGGAGGAGGGCCTCCCATGACAGTGCAGAATTGACTTACACTTGCTCGAGATTTAAGAGGTAGATTTTGAGCCTGAAATGAGGACACACAGCTGTCTCTTTCACAGAGCTGGCCAGACTGAGTCAGCACCTGCAGTTAACCTTTTTAAAATTTAATTTTATTTTTCTCTTAAGTAGTGTTTAATAATCCTGGGTTTATTTTCTATACTTACTGAATTTTAAATAGAGAACAAATGAAATAAATAAAATGTTACTAAAGGCTACTTTCATTTTATATTGTTTCAAAAGGAAAAAAAGATCTTTTTCCTAGGCCACTTTCAGTGGAAAAATGAACAGAAAGGAGACTGAGCCCCCTCCACAGGGAGCTTCCCCAGTGTAGGCCACCTACCTCCTCTGGCTTCCAGGAGACATCGGATTGCTGCTTCTGCCTCCTGCGCATTGGTGGTTTTGATCTGCTTGACATTGTAAGGTTTACTTATTCCAGTCCTAGCTTTGGGCTTGAGGACAGAATGAAGAAGAGAAGCATGTCAACAAGGTGGGAAAGCAGCCTGGGTGGTGGTGTGTTCAGCACGTGCTGGTGGTCTGCCAGGTGGTAGGGGTCTGTGCTATATATGTGAACCCTACAAAGCCCCATCAGATGTGGATTAAAAACACCAAATCTAAACTGAACCTCTCAATCCCTCTTCCCCTAGGAGCACTTTCATTCCAAGAAGAAGAATCCAGGAGTGGTCAGAGCTGATGACTCTGTTCTCCCAAACCAGAGAATGAAAGATTTGCAATGGGGTAAAACAATCTCTTTATTTCAATAACCAGATAAAATCCAGAGAGCAGAACTATGCCACACCTTCCATGGCTTATCTGAGTATTAAAATACCTTCCAGATAACCTGAGTTTCCTTACTCATCACCATTGGACACCACTGCTATCTAGTCACTCCTTATGGCCTGTGATGGTGTGCGCCTGCCTGGCCTGGCTCACCAGACTGTGTGGTGACCCAGGCACCTCAGCACCTGCCTTCACCTGCCTCAACTCTTCCTGCTGACCTTCGCAACACTTGGCAGGTCACTGGGCCCTCTGGACCCCCACGAGGGTTAGTCTTGCTATGACCCTCTATGTGGTTATTAGGTCTCTTTAGCAGCTTCTCTCAACTATTCTGGCACCAGAATGACCATCATTTATTTTCTTATGACTGATCTCAATTTCTGCTATCTTCCCTTATGCTAACCAACAGCCTGTCATCCAAGGACAAGGTCAAGAATCACAGGAGAGAAGCACGACTTGGAAAACCTGTGATTGCACTTTGGGGATTCTTGGGGACCCTTGGGGATTCGTCCAAGGTGACTTTCTGGTAGAATACCTTGTACAACCACTTACAATCTACAAGAGTTAGGGGAGATGGGAATGAGGTGGTAGGCAAGGAGAGGGGCAAAGAGAGATCCTGCAGATCTCTGGGGCAGGCTGGACATGTCTGAAATGCAATTGTTTCTTGGAGCTGAACAGAGAAACTCACGGGTTGCCGAGGTGCTCCAGGCAAAAGTTTTGCTGTCGGCAAGATTGAATACTGCCCATGGGTGCCGGAGGAGATGGATGCATCTGAAGCTGACTTTTTCACCATTAAACCAGCTGGAAAAACCAACAAGGGCAGATCTCAGCCTCAGTGGAGTCACAAGTTGCCAAGGAGCTACAAGAAAGCTGAGGGAGGCAGTTGTGCAGGCAGATGCAGCTTTGGCTAGGTGTGGGTGCTGGCGGGGCACAGAGCGCATGCCCAGCATGCGTGAGGAGTTTCTCTTCTAATTCTCTAACAGCTTGGTCTATTAATGCAGATTCTCTGGAGAAGCATGATTTGGACAAATTTGAATCTAATATTCTAGGGGTGGTTCTAATTGGATATAAAAACCAATTGATTTTTAAGTGGTTCAAAACACACTATCATTACCAGGTCCAAATTTTTTAAATGTCTTGAGGAAAACAAAAAAAATTCCCAAATCAGAGAAATAAACTATGTAAACATTATGTTTATAGCCATTAACAAGTCCTCTTTTAAAATATTCAGTGACACAGAAAATGTGTTTCATTAAATGAAAGACAATCAAGTGAAATAGAAACCAACTTTGCTTACAAAATGTTTTTAAAGTTATGTGTAGCTACAAGATATATGTAACAGAAAGGCTGAAAGTATTTTGGTTAGTATCTTATCTGTAGGTAATATCAAGTGAATTTTTAAATTTGATTCTTCATAGTTCTCTATAAAACTTCACAATTACATGATTGTTAAATTTATCTTCATTTTTTGCAATTCTGGAAATTGAACCCAGTCTTCATTACTACTGAACTACAGCCCCCAGCAGTTTAATTTTTTTTTTTAGACAGGGTCTCACTAAGTTGCCCAGATCAACCTCAAACTAGCTGGGTTTACAGGTATTTACCACTGCATCTGTTATAAATGTTTAAGTATAATCCCAAAAAAGCAAAACTACATTTCAAATGCTCTGTGCTCCTTGCTTGCCATGGATCACTATCGTGACCCCAAACCTGAAGAGAATGGTTGTGGAAAAAATCTACATCTGATTGTCATATTTTTTTTGGGGGGGGGGTAAAAATAAACTGCAGTGGTAAAATGAAAACTGATCAAAAGAAAGCAGGCCACAGCTGTATTTTGAGGTTATGAAGACAAATTTGATGGGAAAAAGCATTGTTTAAGGAGCAAGAAGAAAACCACTTCCTGTGTGACTGGAGCCAGTGACAGGGGTCTGAGATCATGACCTGGGTTAGAGGCATACATGTTAGGCACCTGGGCTTGCTAGACTCCTAAGCAGCAGAGAGGGCCAGGCCAAGGAAGCAGCAGCCCGACTCTGAAAAGCTAGAATAGTCCCTCCTCATTGGGCTGCGGTGCCAAGTTTCCATTCTGAAGGTTTCCATTTGAAGGCAGCTGAAAGCAGAAGCAGCGTACAGGACGGACAGCTCATTTGCCACGAGAAAGACAACTGCCCGTACTATCAGTATGTCCTGGATTTAAGACAAAGATGCCCAATGCAGGGAAAAGCATGGCGGGACTCGGTGGCTGGGAGGTTGTTTAGTGCTATTTTTTCAGTAGCAGGAGATGTGCGATTATCCCCAGCAGGCATTGCGGCAAGCCAAAGTCGAGCAAAATCTTACTTGGAGGGGGGGGTCTCTGTGGTGGGTGAGGTGGCCGAGGCCTACTGGGAACTGACAGAGACCTGCTTGGAGAACGGTGGCGGAAATCTCCGATGGCTCCCAGCTCCTGCTCTAACTCCACCAGGTCAGCATCGTCTGAAGGATATGGCAGGTGTAAATGGTCAGACAAGAGCCTGTGCACAGAGGCCACCCGTGGCAGGCAGAGCTACCCAGGACAATGGAGGGCCTGTGCAGGAATGGCACCCCTTCCTGATGGGCAGATGCATCAGTGCCCTCTTGGAACACCCAGTCAATCCTGGACAGTTTGTTTTCCAGACTTGAGAGACATTAACAAATTTTAAAGAGTAGGCCTGTTTCCTTCTAAAACAATCAGCCAGAATTCCACACAGAGGAAGGAAAGTTTTCATTCCTCACTAAAAAGTGATCACTGTTTTAGAGGCTGAGAGCATTTCCCTTTCTCTGCCAGCCTGGTGGCCAGAGCCTGGGCTGCCACCTCATGAGTGTCAGCCATCTTGACTGGCCTCACATCCCTCCGAGAAGCCAAGAGGGGCCTGTGGAGGTGGCTGCCTCTGGCTCATGACATAAACCCAGTTACAGGTCTTTTCTCCTACACCGTGACATAGCCCCTTATATTTCATCTTTGGCTCAGACACCCTGTCCCTCAAACCCAACAGCTCAAGCCCGTGTATCTGAGGCGGAAACTGGAGTAAAACAGGTTCCAGCGGAATGGCTGAATACCTGGGGTTTCGGACATTCCCACCTGGTGCTCACCAGGGGCCAGGCTGCCCAAGGTCCTTTTGCTCTATTAATTTCTTCATTCAGAGGCAACTGTGTTCACTCCTGGCCTGGCCCCCAGGGGCTGCCCAAATAACAGCTGCTCCTGGTAAGAGGCCACCTCTTCTGAAGAGCACATTCCCGCACCTGCTTCCATGCCAGGGTAGCAGCCTCTCTGCATGAGCAGTGCGCACAGCCACCGTGACTGGGACAAAAGCTGCTGCCTCTGTGTCGGGCAGCATCTGCTGGACTTAGCCATGCATCCCACCCACCGAGGGAATGTCACAAAATGCCAGATTTCCAGGATCCCATCCAAATCTCTACGGTGGGGCTCAGCAGTCTCTAACTTTAAAAGCTCCTGTGGTTCCCAGGAGGCAAGCCACTGTTCAGTTTGGGAAGCATTGTCATTTGGGAACACGGGGGTCTTTGCATTTCCTGGCAAGGCACTTCCCTAGGAGGTACCTTAATTCAATTTCAGCCCTGTTTTCTGTTCCTGGGCCCAGTTCAAGGGGCCCAACACATGGCCAAGTTAGAGCTGTCCAAGTAGGGACACGGTGACTGATACTGAATGTGTTTCGGACACCTTCAGGATGGAATAGACTTAATCTGGTCTAATGCAGAAATATGAACTACCCTACTCGCCAGCCACGTAACACCAGCTGGCTTTAAAACTTATTCAAAAGAATTACTCTGAAGGGCTGGGGTTGTGGCTCAGAGGTAGAGCACTTGCCTTGCACGTGCAAGCTCCTGGGTTCAACCCTCAGCACCACATACAAATAAGTGAATTAAAAAAAAAAAAAGAATTACTCTACAATTGAATCCAGGGTATGCAGTTCCATCCAGTGGCCTTTTAGTTACCCTAAGTCTAAGATGATATAATGCTGTTGCTATATAATATGGCTGTATAAAATATCATATTATGTGAATGGAACAATATGTCAGGTTGTAGATATTAAGTCTCTCTCTTGAAGGATTGAATTACAAAAGTTTCAGGATGAAAAAATCACAAATGTAACCACACTTGAGAACTGGGAAATGGGAATTACAGAGGAAATAGGCATTACCCTGAACCTGGTGTTACAGGAGTACAAGCTGTAAAAAATTAAATACCTAGAGGAAATCAGCATGAGGCTACTGGATTCCTGCCCAGAGTACAGTGCTACACTCTCTGCCTTCCTGGGCCTCTGCCAGGACTGCACAGGATTGCTGGCACTACCTAGCACTGCCTGCTGCGACACAGGGCGACACGGTCTCCTCCCACGTGAGGAAGGAGGCTGAGCTACCTTTGTACGTCGGGTGCTGCTTTTTGGTTAGTGCTGGAGACTTGCTGGCAGGTGCCACCGCTGTAGTGCTGGGGGCATCAGGAGGGTCGTCTCCCCCCAGCTCACTGTCTGAGACCACAGGCTGTACGAGCTCATCCACCAAATAGTCTTCATCATCTTCGAGAACATCCCCTGGGAGGAGGATTGGCCCACAGTGAGGTAAAAACAGTCCGGCGCAAGGGCCTAGCCTCTGGTCAGTGGGTCTTCTGGCTTGCACCAGGATGCTGCAGCCCACCTCCTGCAGCCGGGGTCTCGCCTCCCTGGCTCCCACTTCCACTTGCACCCACAACCCCAATAGTGTCAAAGCTAATTTTTTTTTCTTTTTTCTATTTTATTTGGTACTGGGGATTGAACTCAAGGGCACTTTTACCACTGAGTTACATCCCCAATCCCTTGTATTATTTATTTTGAGTCAGGGTCTTGCAAAGTTACTTAGGGCCTTACTAAGTTGCTGAGTCTGGCTTTGAACTCATAATCCTCATTCAGCCTCCCGGGTCATGGGATTATAGGTGTGTGTCACCACACCTGGCTACAGCATGGTGTAAGTCCAAATGTCTCTGGGTCCCTTTACCATTTCCTGTATCATCCCCAGACACGAACAGTGGATCACACGGATGTGATACTCACACTTCAAATGTCCTCCATAACCCTTCCAAATAGGAGCAACACTAGCCTGCCCCTCCTCAAAGGGTCACTGACCTTCTGATTCATAGTCTAGGCTCGTGAAGTCAAAGTTTTCCTCCAGCAAACAGGAATTGGCAGTGGGGGACACAGGAGCCATGCTGTCCCGTTTTCGAATGAGCTCCTCTCGCAAACCTTTCAGCCAGTCCTTTGTCTTCGGTCTAATCTTCACCGCTCTGCCTTTCACCTGTGAGGACAGCATGGTAAGTGAAAAGAAATACCAAAGTCACAGCAGAGCCTGTGACCAGGGTGCCCCTTTCCCACCTGTGCACCGGGCACAGGCCGATCTTCATGTTTGGCTAAGAAAAAACAGGGGCCCAGGCCCCAGGTGGAATCAGCACAGTTTTCACATTTGGTCTGAATAAAAGTTTGCCCATCATCACCATCTTTTCATTCCATGCAAGTTTAAAACCAGAATTTATTAAAATGGAAACTACCTATGAGCCACATGTCCCAAAACACATACTGAAGAGAAGGAATCTCTCCTGCACAGAGGCAGGGAAATACACTAAGAGTTCAGTGGCAGCCAGATTCTGCAAGTAGCCAGGACTGTCCCATAACACCCGAGAACCACAACCAATCCTAGCTCCTTCTCTGTGTGGCACCTACACACAGGCACAGGTCCCCACAGGTTCAGCATGAGCCAGGCCCGAGGAAGGGAAGACACAGCCATGTAGAAGTGAGATCAGTCAGGCCTGCTCCATGGTGTGACCCAGTGCCACTTACCTTCATGCCATCCACATCCAGGACGCTGAGGGCTGAGTGACTGTCTGCAAATGTCACCAGCATCTGTCCTTGGTTGATCCTGGAGTACGTGAGAGAAGCCTAGTCACAGCCTGGAACCACCTGGCAGCCCTCCCAGATCCTCCCACAGCCCGGAGCCCATGTCTGAGGGCAGTGGCTACCTGACGAGCACAATTGTCCCAAAGTTCCCCAAGGTCTGCATGAGTTCAGCCCGCAGGTCCTCGGGAAACTCGCTTTTCTCTTCTAGGGTTGGCGACTGAAGGTTTACAACAACGGTGGCGTCCAGGGGGCCCTGGAAAGAGGACACTTCCTGGAAAACCCTCTCCCGAGCACCCACGTCGACTTCTTGTACTTCCACCTCCACGATGGCCAGCACGGGTCTGCGTCAGACAGGAAGGGAAGAGGGCGAGAATGGTTAGCCCGGGGCAGGTACTGCCCAGTGCTAGGCCTGGGCCCGGTCCCCCAGAGCTCTGCCACCAACTGTGACATCAGCCTACAGATCCGCAGGCGGCTGCACCCTAGCACTTAGTCTTCATCTCTCCCCCATCTTCGTATCATCTCCTGGCATTTCTAAGTATGATCCGAGAGAGGAAAGAAATACCACAGTGCCCTGAGAACATGACCCAGAACTTAGAAAACCACCAGTCATCAGCCAGGACTCCTCCCCTGACAGTCCTTGGTGCTGCCAGGGAGAGGGAGGGGCGGGTGGGGGTGCACGTGGTGGGGGTGCCGGCTTTTCACAGGACTAGCTGGCAATTTGTGTCACAGATCTCAAAACCATTCATGTCTTTTGACTTAGCAATTGAATTTGTAGGACTTTATTCTAAGGAAATGACCAGAGAGGCAGACAAAGGTTTATGTACAAGGTTGACTGTTTACAGCATCCTTGACAGGAGGGAGGGAGGAAAGCCCTCTACCATGCCCTAATGGGAAATGGTCCACAGTCACCGAAAGAGACACAACCACCCGACACGCAGGAAAGAACACAGCACTGCTGTGATTCCAACACAGGGACAGGTGTCACTCTATTTACAAAAATTAAGAAAATCCCTTATAATGAAGAAAATCCCTAAGTAATCTTATTGAAGACTTATAATATGATATTAAGTGGAAATTAAATTATGGACTAGGATAGAAGAAAGCGGCAGGGCTCGGGGAGTAGCTCAGGACTGGAGCACTTGCCTACCACACGTGAGGTTTGATCCTTAGCACCACAACAGAAAAGCTGGCACGGTGGCACACAGTCCAGTCCCAGCTACAGGGGAGGCTGAACTGGGAGGTCACTTGAGTCCAGGAGTTCAAGACCAGCCTGGGTAGCATAGTGGGACCCCATCTCCAAAAATAAAATTGTGATAATAAAGTGGCAATCTTTAAAACCAGAGAAAACTACAAAAATTAAGAGATACAGTGGGGGCAATATTATCCTGTCCTCCCAAATTTATATTACTATGTGTTATCATTATGATGATTTCTTTTTGCATCTGGAATCAGGAAAAAATATGACTGAGAAACTGTCACACAGGGACATGACTAAGTGAGTGATTTTTAAAACACATTAGGAGAAACCCTTCCTGGAGGAGCCCATGCATGCGTGAGTCACCAGGGCGTGACTAGGTGAGAGCAGGAGCCACAGGGGGCAGGTGGCTTCATGCATGCAGCAATGACAAGGAATGAACTCATTCTCCACACATGCAGCCATCAGAGAGCCCTCCAGAGAACCTCACCACAGCCACCACCAGTCCAAAGCCACCACAGGTTCTCTGCTCCCCCCCCCCCCCCCAGTCTGCTGGGCTGATAACCAGATCTGTGTCAGGTGATGCCCTCTGCAGCTCAGGCATGGCCCACCCACAGGGCTCTACAGGCTTGGTTTTCTGGCCCGTCTCATCCCTGCGGTTCTTTCCGTCACACTCTGCCCCGCCTCTATTATCCTGGACTCTTGGTGCTGCCAGGCAGGTGCCCCAGGAGTGCTCTCCCTCAGACATCCACAGAGCTCATGCCCTCATTTCCGTCAGGCCTCTGCTACGAGGCCTTCCTTGGATGGTGGGTAGAAGACACACTGAGCCTGGCCTGCACTTAGGTTTGTCCCTGTAGAGAACTCCATGAATCTTTGTTTATTACTTAACGCTAATGCCAGGAACAAGGTCTGGCACATAAGACCCCTCAATAAATGGTGGTTAGGTGAAGGTTTCTAGATCCACTCCTCAACTAGGGAACCCAAGTCATACATCTGAAGATTTTCAAGATTTGTGTCTAGGGCTGTAGGTAGTATCAGGATTTAAAGAATTCTGAAGTATCTAAAGATGTAGATCTACTGGCTCACCACACCTTCTCTTTCTTCATTTCTTTCCTCAAAGTTGAAATCAATAAAATAATTTTGGTAGCAGCTATGGGAAGATCAAATTACTTCTTACCAACCCTCAAAGGCCACACTTTGCTGCCTCTCGCAAGATGTTCCACAAGGCTAATCTCCCCGAGCAGCTGCCACCAGACCACTGCCCTCCCTGCCATCTGCTGCTGACTTCCGTCCAGAGTTCAAGGTGCCTGAGGCCAAGCAACGCTCAGAGGACCTAGTAGCTCTGGATCCAAGACGTAAAAACCCTGTGATGTCTGTAATAACAAAATACTAGAAAAAGCCAGATGTGGTGGTGCACGCTTGTAATCCCAGCAGCTAAGGAGGCTGAGGCAGGAGGATTACAAGTTCAAAACCAGCCTCAGAAACTTAGTGAGGCCCTAAAATAAAAAAAAAAAAAAAAAACACAACAAAAAACTGGAGATGTGGCTCAGTGGTTAAGTAACTTCTGTGTTCAATCCCTGGCACCAAATATAAATAAACAAATAAATCACTAGGAAAACTATCCTTTAATAGGTGAAAGTCTAAATTCTATGCATCTGGCTAGTAGAATTCTGGGCAGCACTCAAAATGAGCCTAGATGGCTGTATCTTGGAAATAGTGACAAGCAAGTAAGATTTTCAGCAACATCAGTTCAGAGCAATTAAAAGCCATGAGATAGAACAGGTTGTGTCTTTGAGACTTTCATAAATAGTGTCACTTATGATATAGAGCAATGGCAATAATGCTGCCAGTTATTAATTCTCAGTGGTATTTGTTTTATTTTTTGTTCTTTAGTGTATTTTACACACATGCACACACTCTCACTCTCCCCATATGCCTGCGCGCTCGCTCGCTCGCGCGCTCTCTCTCTCTCTCTCTCTCTCACACACACACACACACACACACACACACGCATGCGTACCTTTAGGGGGAGAGCATGTCTGCTCCCCCTGGGGAGGAAACACTACCTTCTCCTGTGACAGCGTACCTGTGATCAGATGCTTGTAGCTCAGCTCGGCCATAGTACCTGAGGGTCCCGGGAGACCAGGTGTGTCTGACTTTGGTGTCTCCATCTAGATCATTGTCTAGAAGATTGAGTTCTCCAGCTACTCCCAGGGGGGTCCATTCAAGAGGCCCACATGTAACACAGAATCATATCAATATACATGAATGCAATTACAAACACCTGTAGCAGGATTCTCTGTCTCAAACCACCTCAAAGCTCAGGCTCATTCACTTTATTCCCTTGAACTTGAACCTGGGTTCAGGGTGTTTGGGGCCCCTGAGGTTAAAGAAGTTCCTCACATGCAGGCTATCCTGAACAGTAATGACCATAGCCACCTACCACCCTCCCAGGTAGGTTAACTGTAAGCGTGGGGTGCAGCCATCCCTGCTGCCCAGTCCCCCCAACTCCTGCCAGGGCCCTGGAATTACAGGTGACCTGCAGCCATTCATATAGAGGCATGGAGACCAAGGAGCCAGGATTCACTCTAGACAGCCTCAGTGCCCTGGGGCCAAACGGATGTTCATAAACTTAACTGAAGGAATATTTATCTTTTTTATCGGAACGTGGTTTCCTGGCCTTGAAAGCTCAGCAAACATCTCTCCCAAAATGTGGAGTTGTTTACAGGCGCTCTAACTTCAAGTAAACTTCAATTCCCAGTTGGGTAGTAATTAACTGTTCAAAACATACTTGGCAACTGATTGATTTAAAAAAACACTCTCATTTTTATTGTGTCTTGCTCGCGTTCAATTTGGAATAGAGGCTTTAAGGAGAAAAGAGCTTGGTCAAACAAAATGGGCCGGGCAAAGGGCCTGAGGGAGGGCGTGGGGAGGGGAGAGGGCACTGATACTTCCCCCTCCTCCTTTCCCAAGACAGCAGGCAGAGCGCAGGACAGAAGGAGGGATGGGGAGACCAGGACAGACCTTTTCACAGGTCACTGTCTCCAGAAAGAGGCCAGAAGGGGGCTCCCTAAAGCTCGGCTTCCAAAAATCATTCTGGGATGATTTTTTTTGTCATTTGGGTTATTGAAAAACATGTGATTTGCAAGCAGTGGAATGCTGGCTGAGTGAATGCATTTTTTTCCTTTATAGTGTTTATTGTCTGACCCCCCCACTGGCTCTTGAATGTGCACATCCTACTCACCTGTTTTATCAAAAGGACGCTTCTTCCTCCACCACAGTACCCTGTCTGTCCAGGCCGGGGTGCGGCATTTGTCACTGGTATCATAGGCAGCAGAGCCCACATCGTACTTATAGGTGGGTCCAAAGTTAATTGCTCCTTCGTGGAAGTCTTTAAAAATCTATTGGGAGGAAAAAAAAAAAAACAACACAAAACCACCTTTCAGTGAAAAAAAAAATGCACATTCCAGAATGTTCTAGTCCTAAAAACGAACAATCTGTCATATTTGCAAATTTGTCTTACACTAGACATTAGTGTGCTTTTCAGGTGGCCGAAATGCTATCCTCTATTCATCTTCCGGCGGACACACCGTCATGCTACCTTTGCTTCCCTCCCTTGTACCCTCCAGCCAGGCCTGCTCTCACCCCCCAAGAGTCAGGAGAAGAGCACAGGGTTTGTGTGTGCATCTGCACATCTCCAGACCCGCGCCTCACAAGGCCTGCGTCAGTTGGTGCTTGTTAAGTAAATGGACTGAGCCCACAGAAGCACTGAGAGAGCCCAGCTTCCCTCTCTGTTAAGCTCTGGATCTGGCCTTGTGCCCTGGGAAGGCCCCAGAGCAGCACTCACTCCCTCCCTCCCTCCCTCAAGTGCAGAGGGGAAGGAATGAGAATACGTAGGAGGAAGGAAAAGAAAACCTTGTCAAGGAAGTCTGGGGTGGCCACTCATCCACCCTCAGCAATCCACTCACTGACAGCGCCCTAGGCGAGAAGGCAGAGCAAACCACAAAGAGTGCCGAGTCCTGCTTTTGGAGAGAGGCCTTAGCTGCCCTCTCCCCACATACTTCACCAGCTTCACTCTCAAAAGGCCAGTGGCATTCAGACGTATTTCCTCCTCTCCGCCTATCCAGCTAGGGAGCTAACAGACACAGGAATAGGAAACAGCATTCTCTGGAGAAGATAGATTTGGGATATCTGGAAGAACCGATGACAGGTTTTCTAGCTATTTCTTTTCTACTTATGCCATGGCCTAAAAGGTCCCTAAAATTGGCGAAGGTAAAGGAGGGAAGGGGAGACTTGCAGTCGGACCTTCTACCACTGGGTTAAATGCACTCAGGAGGCTCTTCTACAGAAGAACCCTGGGGTTTGAGAAGACACAGGACTCTGTGTGTGGCCAGCCAAAGCTCATTCAAGAGAGACAGAGTGTGTGTGAATGGATGCTCCCGTTTCCCTAATTTCCCAAGCCCCATGTGTTTTCTACAGTATCAGAAACACCATTAAACCCACTCGTAGAACTTAATTTGCTGAATATTATCAGTGCAGGCATTTAGGATTCCATGTTGGAACAAAGATATTATTCCCATCAGAACAGCTGCCAAAAAAGACCTTAAAGTCACAACTTACTTTTCCACTTGATTTCTGCAGGTGTAGCTGATCAAATTCCAGAAGTTTCTTCCAGTCTTGGCGTTTAACAAAATAGAAGACTTCTTCATAAGTGAGATCAATCCGGTAGTTGAAATCGCCACACCAAAACACATAATCGTGAGAAAAAACGTTTCTCCCCTAAATTGTAAAGAAAATCATCATCGTTGTCTCCCATCCTCAAGGAAGGTGGAGGGGAGGGAATGGGGATGAGCAGAAGCTCTTTTCTTTAGATGGTTACTCTTAAGTTTTCCACTAGAGCCTTTCACTTTGACCAATCCCATGAACCTACTGAGGATTATACATGCCTCGCTTTTTTCTTTGCAGTAACAGTGCTTGAGTGTTTAGACAAAGCTTCAGCCTCAACAGGAAGCACAACTGTCAAGTGCAGTCCTGGGGATCAGGCCCTGCTCCTGTTGTCTGCACCACAGAAGCATTGGCCAAACGTCAGTGTCATGACAAGATGAAAGGAACTAGTGGAGGTGTCAAGAGTGCGGCTTCTAAAACCCCACAAACCACACCTTGGGGCTCTCCGCTCTTCCTGCCCCTCAGCACATCCTCCCCCAGTCATGTCCCGTGGCCTGCAGTCTCCAGCTCAGCCCTGGAGCCCTTCCCCGGTCAAAATGATGGCAGCTGCTGTGCAACAGCTGTCTACAAGGGCTGGGCTCTGTTCCGGTGTACCTCGTCCCCGCAGCAGCCCCTGTGCAGCAGGTTCCACTGGATCTTTTAGACTTAAAAAATTCAGCTAACACATGGTAAAGAGGAGACTGGAACCCAGATCTGCCTCGCTCTAAAATTCATTTCTGTTCTCCCACTATGTGGTGTTCCTGCTCCTCCCACCCCATAGCGATCGCCTGAACAGAAGGTTAAGATGATCACAACCAAATAAAACGAGTGTCTAGACGGCCCTGTGCAACGGAACTTTCTGCAGTGATGGAAACATTCTCTCTGGAGCTGTCTAATGCTGGAACACTGGCTACAGGCCAGTGCACATTGAACATTTTCAATGTGGTCAGTGCAAGTGGTATTAATTTAAATAGTTATTGTGGCCAGTGACTATGGTATTGGGTACCAGCAGTACACAGAGTTAACTTATATATACCCTCAGTATTTCTATTGTTAAGGGGGAGAAAGAGCCATATTATAAACTCTTATTATTTGGAATGTGTCCCAAATATACTGTTTCGAAATGGTACTTTACAAGTGAGATGGGTTGGACCTTTTTTTAAAATTTTTTTTGCATTGCTGGAAACAGGGCTTTGCACATATTAGGTACATGCTCTTCTGCTGAGCTATGTCCTCAGCCCTGGAATTTTTTTTTAACCCTCCCCCCACACACACCCCAACTTGTTTTGTTTCTTCTTTAACTCAGAAATTAAAGGAATTTTTGCTTTGCATATTTGGGCAGCCCAGTCAATAAGATGCCAGTTTTAGGGGATCTGTTCTTGTAGAGAAGAGCTCTAAGACCCACCTAGCCTCTCTCAGATGCTGGAAAAATCCATGGCAACAGCTGAAATGTGCCCCTCCCTTTAGGGAATAGGGGGGCTGTATATGCACCAGAATAAAGGGGAGTGTGGGAGGGAAAACATGAAAATTTGAACATAAAGTCCAGGAATGGGGATGTAGTTTAGCGGTAGAGCTTTTGCGTAGTGTGCTGACCCCTAGGTTCAATCTCCAGCAAAACACACACACACACACACACACACACAGTCTCCAGCTTCAGCATAAACCCTCTGGCCCACCACTAGAGGACAGTGCATTATTGGCAACCTCAGGGCCAGTGTTATGATTCCTCAGTAATGATTTCCTGGATTTGGAAAAGGAAGTTCTTAATCCAGTAACAGAAGATGATTGTAGATCTCAAAAACACAATTTCTTTTCTTTTTGCTACTAGACCTAGGGCCTCATGCGAGCTAAGCACACACTACCACTGAGCTACATCCCCAGCCTCAAGGAAACTAAATCTTAAATTGTTTGGATTCAAATGTTCTTCACAAACTTGAACCAAGCATGGACACACTGGTTTTCCTTCCCCGTTCCATCACCCGAGGTAGAACACTGGAAAATGCACCTAAGGAAATCTAGGCTATCTAAATGTCCGGGACATAGAGAAGGAAGTGACGGGACACTGCAGAGCTGGGCTCCTTGGGTGTCCCTCTATCACACTATCCCCCATGTTCATATCCCTCCCCCAGTATTAAGCCCTGGGTCAGGGATGCTCCCTGTGGTTGTACCCCTCTTGCCAGGCTCCTGTCGGCAGCTCAGAAAGCCACACATGGCAAACAGAGCAGGAAAGCCCCCCTGCCAGTCCACCACTCACCGCAGGGAAGGAGAGCTTGTGGGTGATCTCCCTGTAGTCCTCGTTCCTCTCCTTCACCTGTGACTGCCCAGCTGTCAAGTGGCTGCAGATGAAGCAGAAGCTGGTGCTGTGGAACTGGAAGCGGATGCCCACGGCACCCTTGTTCCCTGCCTTTCCCCCCATGCCAGTCTTCACCGTGTCGATGGCCACGTCCCTGCAATAGAAGAGCAAGCACCTTCCATTGGCCTTGAAAAGTATAAGCCTGTTTGGCCAGAGAAGAGCCTGCGTGAGGCCCCTGCTCCGAACCACGGCTCAGAGGTCTTCATCACATCCTCTGAAGCCAAGAACGCAGCAACCAGCGGCCATCACTGACTCCACGGCCAGGAGGCCACTCCCTCTCAGTGCCAGTGGGCTGTGGAGCACCTTCGCCATGGCCGGGCTCTGAGGAGCTCCGTACTCCACAAGCACCCCGTGGGCGGCAGACAGCACCCCTGCATCTGCCCCGGCTCTGTCTCCCAGCCCCCCCCCCCCCGCCCCACGCAGTTCTCATGTGAAGCACAGGAGGACTCCTCTGGGCTCTTGATGTGTCTCGAGAACACGGAAACAGCCAGTCCTTCAGGCCGGCCAGGAAGGTGGTGGCAAACTGGCTTTCCCACACACACAGGCTCTGGCTTGCGTTACAAGGCCAACTCAGCGTCACACGAGTGGACTTGCAGGACCTGGAACCACGGACCCCAAGCCAAGAGCGTGACGTCTCCACCACCATGCCACGGATGGGGGCCTATTGGTGCACCCCTACCTGGGAGGCAGCGGGAAGGGACAGGGGTGTGAGTGGACAGGCCTGAGGCCAAGGGCAGGAGACTGAGGAGGCAAGTGGGGGGAGCTCAAGCAGGGTCAAGGAGGTCAGCAAGTCCTCTACCCTGTTCCCGACTCATGGTTGATCGCTAGTCTTCACCCTGAACTTTCCTTTATTAGCCTTTTCCTATGAACTTGGGATATGGCCAAACTGCCCCCATAACACTCTCAGAAGGGCAGGGACTTGAAACATTTCCTGAAGTTCTCCAAAGGGAATTATGAATACAGAGCCAGCCTTGTTCTTCCAGGGCCACCACAGGGAGTACCCATGGTCCTCCACCCAGAGGAGCCTGACTGGGTCTCATCCCACTTTAGTTGCTGAACCATTTGGGGGACTGGGTGTGAAACCCAGGAGCACTTTACCTCAGCTACATCCCCATCCCTTTTCATTTTTTATGTATGGTTTCTTATTTTGAGACAGGGTCTCACTAAGTTGATGAGGGTCTCACTTAATCACTGAGGCTGGCTGTGGACTTACAACCCTCCTGCCTCAGCCTCCCGAGGTGCTGGGATTTCAGGTGTGTGCCACCACACCCGACTCTGTCCCACTTGACTTAGGATGAAGGCCCGCTAGCTGCCTGGTGTCAGCAACTAGAAGGGCTGCAGGAAATCCTAACGCCATGAAGGAGTCCAGGCAGCCGCGGGAGGCTGCCCAGAGCTGAGGGGGCCTTTCCTAAAGGAGATGCCTCGCCTAAGCCCTTGCCCTTCTTACACCACAAAGCTGTCACTCTGGAGAAATAATAATGAGAGCAGGAGACAGAAATGTGTTAAAGACAGGTTTAAACTTCCACCCAGGAGTTTACAAAATGGAGTAGTCAGCTCATGACCAGCAGGACATGGTCAACGTCCCAATTGGACGGGGGACACATCCTGTGTGCCTGGACTCAAAGACCCACTGTTTTTAAAATCTCTAGCCTATGTCTTCAAGGCCACCTAGCTCCCTCTAACCTTATCATGTAAACCTCTAGACTGACACCAGACACCGGTGGCCACCCTCCTTGGGAGCCCTCCCACTGCGGAGCTCTGCTTTGTTTCTATTCCTTTAATTAATCCTGTTATCTTGCTCTCCCCTTTGTGTCCATGGATCTCATTCATCGAATCACATGACAAAGAACCAACACAGACCCTCCTGTCTTACAAAGGAGGTGAGACAGATTCCACTCAGAATTCATTCAAAAAGAGACCAAAGGCTTGGCATTTCCTGAGGAGTTACTCAGCCCTTGCTCAGACGTTTCCTGTCAGTAAAATGCCAACAAGAAACCCCTTCCTAGCCCAGCACTGATTCTGGGCGGTGCAGCTCCTCCTAAGAGGGCAGCTTCCTGAGCTGGGAGTTTCCTCTTGAGGCTTTTTAATTGCTAGACAATATCCTATTCAGCTTTTTCCTCCGGGCCTTTGTTCCTTCCATTTATCCAGCTATGGCAGGTCCTGATTCCTGCTGTGGAAGGACCCAGGGAGGGCAGAGGAAATCACAGAACAAGACCCCCAGACTCACAGCCCCTCAGTCCCCAGGTGTTTATAGGTGTTCTTACCTGATGAACGGAACATGGTACGGACGTACAAAGATATACAGACAGACGCCCACTAGCTGTGCCGAGGTCAAGAGAATGTACCTATGCGAGCGTGAGATGGCTTTCTGCAGCTGCTCGCCCCACATCTTCCTGTTGGTGGTACTGGGGAAGAAAAGAAAGGAAGGGTGCTTGCTCTTCAGGGTGAGCCGAAGTGCATCTCCCACCTACCAACCCCGTGTGGTGTCGGGCCTGGCTTCCACCGGGGGACTAGCTCTATATTTTCAATTGTGCCTTACACATCACAGTGGCACCTTCCTCAACCCAACACACAGCCCAGGACCTTCTCATGAGACCTCCACAGTGTTGGTTTATTTGTTTAGATAGTTACTTGAAATATAATCGGGTCCTTTGTTTCGGGGCAGGGGCACGGGGGGAGGGGGGGATTCTAACTGCTCTATGCCAAATGCTAATCCAGCAGTCTGGGGCCCTTCCTTTGTGCCTGGCACAGAGTACCTCCTCCTGACACTCACACTTTCTCATCTCTCCCCAGAAAATGTGAATCAGCTGCCCTCCCTGCCCTGCCCTCTAGGCTCACCCACGTGGCTCCCAGGCTGTGTGAATCGCTTCACCACAGAGCCCAGGAGCACCTCAGAAAACACAGTGACACCAGCCCTTCCTTCCCTTTACTTACTCAGTAGGGATGGAGGCAGGGGGTAGTGCACCTGTGCGAGTGTAGAAAAGGAGTCTAGCCAGAAGTAACCACACAGTCGAGGTCACAGGCTGGCCCTAGAAGACCTTGGGGCTCTGCTCCCCACCAGACACCTGGCTCAGGGTTACCCTGCCCCCCACACGCAACCCTTACCTGGCATTGACAATATTCCCTGCACTCAGCTCCACCATCTCTTCAAACCCCACGGCATACACATCAGTAGGGCTGCTGTCATCTGGGGACAAGGCAGGAAATGAAGAAAATGAGAACCACCAGGTCCTGCTTTCCTGGTTCACGAGGCTCCCCATTTCCCTCCTCAGGGCCACACTACCTACTGCAGGGGCCCACTCACCCGACCCTTCTGGGGCACCAGCCTCTAGAACCCACTCTCCCCTCCTCTATGCTTCTAGCCCACATCACACGTGGCCCTTCCTTATGTATGTCCCAGGGTGTGGCACCAATCTCTCTGAACCTGTTTCTTTCTCAACAAAAGTGACCAGATGTTATTAAGAGTAAATCAAATAACTTCAGTAAAATACCTGACCCTCCTGCTAAGTGTCGAGGGCACGCCCTCCAAGCCAGACCCTGAAGTGGCTGAGGGGTCACACTGCCTCATGTTTAGTTTGTGCTTCCCAAGTACTTTCATAGCACTGGGCACAGCATCACCCAGCTAATGTGTGACCAACATGGTCCCTTCCACAGGGACCATTATTTGGGTCTAGCCCGAGGTGGGTGCTGTGCTGCTTGGGAACCATTCTGACGGGACCTGCCACAGAAACCCCTGGCTTACACTGATGCTTGCATTCACTGACGCTCCCCAGTCACGCCCTCTGGTACTCAGGTACTGAAGCCATCAAACCCAGACACGGTTCCTGCTGCAGAGCGTGAGGCACCTCTGCCAGGGCTCCTGCAGGAGGAAGTGGCCTCTACTGGGAGAGGCCAACAGGCTCCCCACTTCCTGCTCTGCAGCCCCATGAGCACTGGCACTTCCAGCTGAGCTGGTGTAAAACATGAAGCTGCTACTGCTGCTGTTTTCTCTTTTTAAAAGGAAACACCACCTATCCTTTGACCTGGCTAGCAACAGAAGTTCAGCTCCATCCTTCTCCTGAACTTGGTGGCTTTCCAATGGGCCCACTACTGTCCACCTCAATAAAATATCCTGGCAAAGCAACCACCAACTTGCTGTAACTACCCACGTGTCCTCCAGGCAGGAGGAGGGTTGCTGTGGTACCAGGAAGGGGCTTTTCTCAGCAAGGTAGGGCTGACCAGCCCCAGCACTTGCCAGGCTGTCCTGTGGAGTTCAGATGGCTTCTGGACACACCACCTGTGCCAATATGGGCCACCCCCAATAAGAGAATCCAGGGGCCCTGACTGTGGACACTTGCTCCCAGGCAGACAAGAGGGTGTGAATGGCAGGACGGGATGTACATAAGGACAGGTCATCCCAGGCAAAGACCTGGTCAGGAGCCTCTTTCCAAGTCCAAGGATGTGGAAATAAGCAAGGCCCCTGAGTTAACAGTGATTGGACAAAAGTCATTTAAGTCTTCAAACCTTGAGTTTTGAGGGCACTTAATAGGATCTTGCATGATAGATAATTTGTCAAGTTTGGAATTATTTTATTCTCAAAAAGTACACAAATTCATAATTACTTAAAAGTGGATGGATATTGCAGGCAGAGGATTACTTATCTGAATTAGTTGAAGCCAAAGTGCTTCAGATTTTAGATTCTGGAATATTTCCACATGCATAATGAGGTATCTTAGGGATGCGACCCAAGCGTAAACATGAAATTCATTCATTTTATTTTATACATTCATTTATTTTTTTTTGTTGGTACTGGGGATTGAACCCAGGGGTGCTCTACTACTGAGTTCCACCTCCAGCCCCTTTTACTTTTTATTTTGAGATAGGATCTCACTGTTGCTGAGGCTGGCCTTGAACTTGTGATCCTCCTGCCTCAGTTTCTGAGTTGCTGGGATTACAGGCATGCACCTCTGTGACTGGCTCATTTGTTTTACATACACCTTGTTTCCTAACCTGAAGGCAATTTTATACATTTTTAGTGCAGCTATGTTTTAACTGTGACCCATCACAGGAGTGGAAGTTTCTACTTGATGTCACGTCAGTGCTCAAAGTTTCAAATATCGGAGTATTTTTACTTCAGGTTTTAGATTGGGGATGCCCAACCTCGAGTTGGCTGGGGGAAAGGCAGGGATGAGACATTTATTTTCAGGCAGCAGCAACATCAAGTGCAGGTCTGGCTCTAGCAGCTCCCAACAGCAGCACTACCCTAGAGGCCCCATCTCCTGACAAAATTCTAATGACTGAAACCTAAGACATCTTTGCACATGAAGAGAAGAGAGACCTACCGTGATAACTCCCCAGTCAGTAGGGAAAGGGGTCACATGGTTAATTTGCTAGGCAATATCCTAGAAGGTGCTTTCAAACATCTTAAAAGTGAAAAAGGCAAGTAACAATTTCTTCCAGGCAACGGCTATTTAAAAAGTCCAGCCTGACATGGCAGGTTCCGTGGAATGCCTCACCCTGGATGTTGGCAGCCCCAGAGAGCTGGGGCGCGTCCAGCAGCCAGTCTGTGAGCTCTGCTGTCCCCAGGAGGTTGCTGCGAAACTGCTTCCCTCCATTCACGTTCCAGGTCCCCACGGCGACTTGGATCCGCTTGAAGTTGGTGAATTCTGACTGACGTTCTGTCATAGCTCTTAGGATCCTGGGGGTCACTGTTAGGAGGCATGAAAAGTCACCTTTCTCTGCAGCCCAGACCTCAGGCATCCTCCAGGATTACAGGAGGGGCTCTCTGCAGAGAAGCAGGCAGTTCCAGAGCCTGAACACAAGGACCTCGCATGCTACCCAGGGAGGGGATGAAAGACCAAAGACACCATATCTGTTCTGCAACACAGTGCAAAAAAATTCACCCTCCACACCCTTCCCCAATGAGATCCACAGAGGGACATCAGGTCACAGGGAATCTCAGACACGATGGGAAAAGTCTCATCAGCACTCAATCCATGATCCCACAGAAGAACAAGGCACAGATTTCAAGCAAGGGAACACTGCAGTGTACCATATAATTGTACACACACACACAATTAATCAATCAATCTTTACATATATAACTTGAAATGTCTTCCCCAAACCCCATCTTTGCATTTTCTACCTTTCATCCTGCATAACTGGTGTGTGAAAGGTGTGTGCGAAAGGCTCTGTTTTATTGTTCTTTTGACCTTAAATTTAAGGCATTAAAAAAATCATGACATCATAATGTCTCCATGCTCTAGAGAACCAAAATAGATCCAGCTTTTACACTAGTGACTGGATTCCGATCCCGTTGGTCTTGCTGCTGGATGACCTGTGCTCTGCCACCTGGTGCTTTGCTCAGCTTCTTCCAAGAAGATTGGTATCTAGAGCAGAAACTAAGCCTCACCCTGGCTGTCAAGAGCCAAACAAGTGGCCCATAATGTAGAAGGGTAAGAGTAGAAAACACTTGGGAAGCCGCTTTGAATGTGGGCACTTCTCTTTCAAAAACACCAAGAATTTCCAAAATAAAACTTAAAAGTTTTTATGAGAAAAAGAATGCCGGGTCTCCCCTTTTTTGTAAGACCTATAAATTTCCCAGGCTCCGGGGAATAAGAGGTCTTTTTAATTTCCCCAAAGGAACTTCCAGCTATTGATGGACTTCTGTCAGTTTTGCCAAAACTGGATGTGTCCTCCCCACCCAGAAATGGACGGGGTCCTCTCCTCTATTTCAATAGGGCATTGGGCCAGAAGAGGACAGGCCAGGTTCACAGGAAGCTCCCTGGGCCACACGACACTTGTCAAGGGCACCAAGCATTCAGGCCACTGAGGAAGTTTCTGGAGTGAATTAGAATTTAGAGACACTGACTTCAGAACAGTATAGATGCACAGAGCCCTGCCATTTCCTTCCCTCCTCTTGATGTAGAACACAGTCCAGTTGAGAAAGTGGAAGAGACCAGAAGGCACAGGCTACTAGGAAGTAACTACCCTCTATCACCACAGGTTCGCATCAGATCTATCCAACATATTCAATCCATGGATGGAAAATACTTGAAAAAAACTGCATAAACAATAAACATGTGGACTTTAAAATTGCCATGTTCCCTTAAATGATACAGTGTAACAAGTATTTAAATAGCAGTTATATTGTATCAGGTATAAGTAATCTAGAGATTAAATATATGGTATGATGCCCACGGGTTATATACAAAGACTTTACCTTATATATGTGTATACATGTGTGTATATATACATATATGATGCTTAGGTCAACTGGTCAGATCAAGATACCACAGGTCAGAGGCCAGAAGTTCTGGATGAGTCTGTCACCCGCCATCTTGGATTACATGGTGCAGGCAGTGGGGCTGGTTAACTTTACCCACAAACGCCAACTGCTCTGATGCAGCGTAAGGGCCATGGACACCCCTATGCAGGCAGAGTGAGAACTCATTACCCAGAAGGGCCGTGTTGTCCAGGAGCATCCTTCCTTTGTCTGTTGACTCCTCATTGTAGACATCTCCAACCAGCAGCAGCTTGATGGCCTCCTGCTTCACCCCATCAAAAAAGTTGGACTGGATGGTGCGAGACACAGACCGGGCCCCATCTTTCAGCTTCCCTACCTGTGTGAGCCAAAACCCAGGTGTGAGAGGGCTCCATGAGGTTCCCCTCCCTCTCCACCTGGCCGGCTCCTACCTTGGCCTTCCCTTCTAGGGCCCTACTGCCCGTGAACACCTTGCTCAGGCTGTGCCCATTCAGAGACCACATGGCTTTAAAGGACTCCACAAAGCGGTCAACAATGGGTTTTGAATTCAGCCCTAGGCTCTCGAGCTGCAGATGAAGGACCTGGGGAAGAAGTAAAGGACAGCCATCACTGACTATCTAGAGAGACCATCCCCACACTCTTCCCTGTGAGCTCCTTATTCAACAGACTGCAGATGTTCTGGGCCCTCCAGAGAATAAGAAGCTCTTGCTGAAGAGAATATGGCTCCCCACCCCAACTCCAACTTTATTCAGATGATCCACCCAATCTCTCCTGACCCCCAGATACATAAACACCCACCACCACTGCCGGAGGGCTGGACAGATAGCAGTAGTAGTCACAGATGGCATGGACTCCACCTCCTTCCTCCCAGGACATAGCTGAGAGGTCAGCCAGCCAGCTGGGGCCATGCAGACAGATGTGTCCCTCCCCAGGCCTCAGATCCAGCCTCACAGTGCCCTGGCCCAGTGGTGTATTCGTGATAGTCATGATCAAGAACTACTACTTCCCAAGGGTGTCTGGAGCCTTTGGACAACCATGTCTGGAATGTACCTGGAAAACGTATGAAGAAGTGTGCCTGTTGGGCTGGGGGTGGGGCTCAGTGGTGGAATGTTTGCCTAGCACACATGGGTTCCGTCCCAGGCACTGGGGGTGGGGTAGAGACCATGACATAAGAAGGCACAGAGTGGCACAGGCAAGCAGCCAACCAGAGAACCCCATTGTTGGAAAGTCACCAGTGGTATCACCCCCATCTTGCAGCTGAAGGCCCAGACTGCCCCACTGAAGGCACAGGACATGACACAGATGGCCCAAAAGTCACCTCAAGTGCGATGAAGCTCTGCACGGTGTTGGTTCGGTCCAGGCAGTCAAGACAGTTCATCCGCAAAGTGCCTTTCTGAAAACTGAGGACAACAGGAAGAGATGGGAACAGTCGTGAGATGTGTAACAGCCATAGCACTGTGGCAAGTCTACCACTTCCAAGGAGACCTGTTCTAGGAGAAGACCCCTCAATGAACCACTAGCACCCCCAAGTATGGGTTCTAAGGGACCCCCATACCGAGAGATGGCAAACAGACCCCAGGACACACTCTCTGCAGCCCATATCCCTGGATCATCCTAAGTACACCCAGTTCTTGCTATGCACAGCGATGATATAAGGTGCTGTGGATAATTATAAAATTGCATGAATGTAAAATTAGCAAGTACTGATTTAAGCATGGCTCTTGGAGAAGTGCAATTAGGTTTCTGCAAGCCTCTGGCCACATGTCATCAACTCATCAACACATGACCTTTTTTATGTGTTTGTTTAAAGCACCTTACTGAAATATATACAGATAGCCTCTGACTCAGGATGTCCCACCAAATGATTTTTATGATGGGTTAACTGGAGTATTAAATGCAGCACTGACTTGATATTTTTGACATATTAAGTTCAAATGTAAGTTCTATGTTATCAGGACACAACCCCACATAATTCAAGTCTGTATGTTGCTGCTTTGTTAACACCAGTCTCACAGCCTAGTGTCCATAACCCTAACCCATAGCTGAAGAAGCTCGTCTAACATGCATTCTCTCTGGAAGGCACATCACTGCCTTCTTGTGCTTAGAATGCTTCAGTACCATCCCTGGGGGCCACGTTAAACAGTGAAATCACCAGCAAAAGGCAAGAAAATATGAAAAACATGGCACTAAGGAGTGGAAAGGACCCTTGTTTATGGTCTAAGGGCGGAGCAAGAAGTCAGAGCCCTGCCTCCTTTGACCTCACTGGGAACATGCATGTTGGATGACAAATTTTCACTTGCTTTGCACGTCTGCCAATGATCACAAAGTGCCATGACTAAAATTCTTGGGTCACAAATAAGTTTTTAGCAAGTAGGGGAATTCTCAAATATGTGATCTGCAAATAATGAGGATCGATTTATGTGATGTGAAGAAACCGGACTTCCTTTTTCTCTCAGCTCTGAACAGGGTGACCCATAGCTCAGTGTCCTTGGGCATCGTGGTTTAAACCAAGCTTTCCACTGAGAGTGGTGACAGTTCCCCCTTGCTCTCACAAGTACTTGTCATGGTGGGGTAAGTCACATGGTCATCTGAGCCCAACATTTTATATAGACAGTCCTTAGGATGTTTCTTTTTCTAGAAACCATGGTTTACCATCTACTCCCCGAACTCCTTAGCAGGACTCTGAATGCAGGAAGAAGACGGAAGCCCACGATGCCCCCACATCATGGAGCTCACGACCCAGGAAACTAGTCAAGCTTTGAGGGAAGGAAACACCTCAAGGAGGGGGCACCTCCCAGAGAGCCACAGCGGACTCCTCACCCGGCAGAAGGCGATGCTGGCAGGCGAGACTCACCGTGGACTTACATTCTCGCCCTTGGAGAACACATCAAAGTCATCCCAATGTAGCTTTAACTGAGGCCTCAACAGGTTCTCCAATTTCTCTAGCTTCCCGCCTTTGGCAAACTGATGGAAGTCAAAATTGATCATAGGCGTGTCGCCAGCATGGCAAGAGGCCCAGAGCAACTTCTGAAAAGGAAAGGGGAGGGCAGTAAGGAGACGGAGCAGGGGCAGCCACCTTCCTCTTGCAGCCCACATGTGGCCAACCAGTCACCCTTCTAGAGGCACGGGCTGGCACCGAGGCTTGTGGAAGACCGAGGGGTTGCTCAGCCTGACCCCCAAAGGGAAGCACAGTCAAAAGCCCTGGGAGACAGAAACTCCAAAGAACAGCTTGCCTGCACCAGGGCAGAAGTTCCCCCTTGAGCAAAAGAGGCCGGAGCAGGGGTTGCTCCCTGGGGACATCCCACTCCTGCAGGGCTCTTGGAGGGCACAGGTGAGGGAAGGGTTGCTCTGTTCTTCAGGGGGCCCAAGTGCGCTGGCCCTCAGGAAGAGTAGCAAGTAGTAGGCTGTGGAGCTCATAATCCAGTTCCCGTTGCCCTGGTAACCAGCCCCATCCTGACAGGCACCAACCCCAGTGGGTAGGCTCTGCAGTCTCCAGGCTGAGGTGGCCAGTAGGACACAGACCTGTGAAACCTTAGGATGAAGCAGATGAGTGGTCAGGAACCCACCTGGCCCAGGCACATGCCAGCACCGGGGTGAAGCGGAGGACCGGGGTGAAGCACAGCCTGGGCTGCTGGCAGAGGCCTTCCTTCCCCAAGGCTTCCCTGGCCCGGGAACTCCTCACCCCAGGGTCCAGTACAGACTGGCTGCCTTCCCAGGCCACCCACCTCTGGGCCTCACTGCACCTGCACTGTGTGGCTTCAGATCAGATCAGACCAGTGTCTGCCCAGCCAGGGGTCCTGAGGACTTTGAAGGACCTGAAGGACTTTGGGTCATTTCAACTAGCCAGAATATAAATCAATACATGGTGCCATCATCCAGGAAGTCTTACTTGGAAGAAAATCTGTGGAACAAACAGTGGGCTGTTTGGTAGCTTAGGGCTTTACCTTCCGGAGCCAGCTTCTTGTCCAGCTGTTGACTGATAACCACTGAGTCCTGGCTGCCTGCCTGAGCAATGGCCTCAGTCTGGTTGAGGGACTCCCTAGGGCCACGACCCAGGTCTTCAGTTGGAGTGCTGCCTTTTCCTCCAGGCTGAGGGACCTGCCCTCCTGACCTGGGCCATCTCCTGTCCTCTTGTTTACAAAATAGGCCTTGGCCTCAGTGTCAGGGCCATGGCCACTAGTTGCTGGGGAAGTGCTGAGGACATCTTTCTTCATAGCTCAAGGCAGAAAAGGGAAAGGGATTGGGGTTTGTTTTCCTTGCCCCCTGCCTTTTCTTAAAATAAGCAGCCAGCAATGCTGCCAAGTGGGTGGGTGGGGAGAGATTTCTTGAGCCTGTTGCTCATAGCAACAATCCAAACAGGAAAAGCAGGTCTGGCCAGATAAAACTGGTAACCAGGAAGTCCCTGCTCCAAGCATAGGGTTTTTCTCTATAGAGGGACATGAGCACTCCAGCTCGGTGTGGCTTCCTCCAGTCATGGGTCAAAGTGCCAGAAGAGGCCGCAGAGGTCATTGTCCTCCCTGCTGAGACGCCTGTAAGCTCTCTCAGGGACCTCCTTGACCTTCAAACAACCAGAGTCTTTCTCCACTAAGCAGGGGCCATGGGAGTCTGGGCCAGGAACGAGGAGGCCACCATAGCTCATTCTGGAGTCTTCCATGGTTGACTGCAAGCTCACAGGGAGACCTGGGTGGAGTCACCTCCTACTACCACTTCCCCACTCAATCCAGGATCTGCCCTCCCCTGATCCAGGCACCAGAAAGTGGAAAGAGCCTGCGGGAGGCGGCACCCAGCTTCCATGGCAGCCCAAATGAAAGGGAGAGACGTGAGGGCCACCTGGCCAGCAGAGGGCGGCATCCTGCTTGGAACCCAGCTGGGCTCTGAAGAGCAGGTGAGGCCACTAGTTTCTGGGGGAGCGCTGAGGACATCCTTTCTTCAGAGCTCAAGGCAGAAAAGGGAAAGGGATTGGGGTTGGTGGGAAAGCCTCAGGAGTCGCCATTCAGCCACTGGGCTCCCTTCACCCTGCCTGCACTAAAGAGCCGCCCCTCGAGAGCAGAAGGCATCAGGGAAAGCAGCTTTGGGGAGCTCAGGGAAATGGAGCTTTGTTTTGACTTTAAGCAAATTCTCTCAACCCCCAACTCGAAAAAATGAGACTTAATGCATCAGGAGCCCCAGGGAGCCAGCACTGCCCTGCTTGGTGTTGTGGGGAAATCTAAGGACGCCATCCACAGGGCTCAGGGCCCACAGGAGCCCTCCTGGAAGCCCTGGAGATGCCGCTGTTGTGCCTCAGGGCTCTGTCACCTGACAGGCCCTGCCAGTCTCCCGACCCAGGTGAGGAAAAGTCAGTGTTAGGTGTTACCTTAAAGGCCCTGTTGAGCACCTCCTCTCCGCCTCTGCTCCCCAGCAGGTTCACGACCACCTGCTTCCCGTACTGCTCCTTCAGAAGTACCATGTGCCTGCAAGAGAGCAGGTGGATGGTGATGCTGTGACACCCGGGTCCAGACTGGCTCATCTGGCACCTCAAGGAAGAGGTGCAGAAGGGACAGCACTTGGGGCTGGGGATATGGCTCAGTTGGTAGAGCATTTGCCTAGCATGCACAAGTCCCTGGGTTCAATCCCCAGCACCACCAAAAAAAAGAGAAAGTTTTCCTTTACATAGTCGTGGCCGAGTGGTTAAAGCGATGGACTAGAAGGGACAGCACTCTCTCAGGGTCAGAGGTCCAGAACCAGTCATGCCACTGACCCAGAGTGTGGAAAAATGAGCCACACCCTCCCAGCCACCTGCTCTGTTTATTCAAAACTCCACCCATGGAAACAGGTCTGTCAGCGCCTGTCTGCATGGAAGTTTTGGGCCAGGAATGGCACACAGCACCTCAGGCTTCTATAAGGCTGCCAGGTGGGCCTCTCTATAAACCGTCACCATTCTGTCCACAGCCAACCCACAGCCATGGTCTTGTGAATACAATATGTATAGATTGAAAAAAAAAAAATGGGGCCATACTGTATTGCCTAGACTGGCCTCAAACTTGCAATCCTTCAGTTCCAGCCTCTCCAGTAGCTGGGATTACAGCGTGTACCGCTACGCTCAGCTCTGAAATTAACCTATTTTACCTGGCACTGACCCTTAAGACTACACACCCTGGCCAGTGAGCCCTCAACAGCAGTATTTAGCTCTCCTCAGTTCTGCATTTCATTATATTGAACCAAAACAAGAAGGTACAAGAAGTCTTGCAGGCTCTAGAAAAATATTCCTACATCAGAGACTTTTTAAATGTGCATGTTGAAATATTAGGGAGAGACTCCAATATTATCCTTTCTTGCCAACTTGTTAAAAGTAACTGTAGGGCTGGGGTTGTGGCTCAGTGGTAGAGCACTTGCCTAGCACGTGCGAGGCCCCGGGTTGAGCCTCAGCACCATATAAAAAATAAATAAATAATAAAATTGTGTCCAACTTCAACTAAAAAGTAAATATTAAAAAAAGAAATAACTGGGACTGGGGCTGGGGCTCAGCGGTAGCGCATTTGCCTGGCATGTGTGAGGCACTGGGTTTGAGTCTCAGCACCGCTTATAAATACATAAATAAGATAAAGGCCTACCGACAACTAAAAAAAAAAAATTGAAAAAAGTAACTGTTAATGTTAGAAATGCTTAAGTGCTTTTTTTAAAGACATAGGGGAAAGATGCAATGTAAAAATTAGACATAAAATTGTAACTTAATAGTGAGGTCTTGGGCTGGGGGTGTAGCTCAGTGGTAGAGCACTTACCTAGAATGTGTTTCATTCTTAGCACCACATATAAATAAATTAAAAAAATAAAAGTCCATCAACAATTAAACAATATTTTTTAAAAAGTGAGATCTTTATGCCTAAATATAGAAAGAAAAAAAAAAAAACAGAAGAAATACACCATTATGTTAAAGGGATGGAGTGTTACATGATTTAAATTTTTTTTTCTTTAAACATTTTTCTCTTTCCCCCAATGTCTACAATGGCATGTTTCTTTTATAAACAGAACTTAAACAAAAAAAGATCACAAAAGAACCATTTTTAGCTCAAAGAAAAAGTATTCCCTTGTAAACTTTGAGGGACAACAAGTTGGAGTAAAAAGAATATGTGTTTTGAAGAGGATCTTTAGGTTTGGATTTGTCTGCTAACTTGCTGAGTTAAGGATGAGTCCCTCCTGGGTTCCAGTCTCTGCTTGGAGGAACTCCCTAGGAGTCCTGCTCCTGACAGCCCCGGGATGGGGCAGGAATAAATGGGACGCATGTGGCTCACCAGCTCAGGGATCTGCCCAGAGAAGGTGGATCCCGTCCAGAGGTCTGACGTGAGGGCTCTGCCTCTGGCGAGAAAGGCCGAGCTGCCAGCTCTGAGAGTTGGTCCCTGGGTGACAGGAGGAAGCCCTCCACAGCCACACCCCACATGTAGCTGATGAGAAGTCGGGCGGCTGCCTCGTCTCCATCTGTGCCTACTTCCCAACTGGTTCCAAATTCCAGGGTTGGAAGAGAAACTCTTACTTGTTATTCCTCCTATATCCTGTCACACCCCCCACCTTCCTGGATCGCATTATGCGCCCTCCATCTGCACAACTGGTGCAGGGAAAAAGGTCTGAGAGGAGAGCGAGTGACAAGGACAGTGCTCAGTATGTGGAAGTCGGCTTTTCCTTCCTCCCGTTCAATCTAAAAATAAGACGATATTACTGTTGTTGATAAAGGGTGTTTTCCACTGACTCGGGGGTCAGGGAGAGTCTGGCCCCCACTCCGAGGTCAGTGGCATGAAGAGGTGCTCCTGGCCCTAGTTGTTTTGGGTATTGGGGCCTTTTCTCCACTCTCTCTGCCCATCTGTTCCTGTGAGGGGAAAGGAGAGGGGAACCTGGAGTTTTTTGGGACACTGAGGATTAAGCACTCTCCTCTTCAGGGTGGAAACAACTGTCAGACACACCCCAGTGTCCACAGGGAGATTCCAGACATGGCAGCCACAACAAAGCAAGAGGGCGGACAGAGGAGAGCTTCACTGTCTGCAAAGGCAATGCAGCCACTGTCCTCATGAAAGGTCAGCGCTCCCGTGGCCCTGGGCACCACTCCCAGATGACAAGCTCCTGCTCAAACAGGAGCAGGTGGAAGGCCTGCTCCCAAAACCCTCTCCTTGGACACACAGATGCAGCCAGAGAGTGGTCAGTGACAGCAGGACAAACCCAGAGTGCAGCCATGGAGCACTGCTAAGGAACCCGTGTCCTGTAGGTAGAAGCCCTTCCGTGGGAAGGGTGGAGGAAGAAGGAATTGGCTCTGCATAAATCTGTGGAATAACAGGGAGTAGCAGCGTCCTGGAGAGGAGTTGGCACATCATTCCAGGGACACCTCACTGCGCTTTGGGGGCCATAGCAGCTCTGCCCTCAGGGTGGCCTCACACGCATGTCACCTCATTTCCAAATGCCATTATATCTATAATTTAGACCATCCCTTATTAATCAGGGCAAATGCATGAAAGTTCATTGCAAGAAGAAACTGTTATGATTTAAAAAAAGTCACAAACTAATCTTCAGGGAAATCCAAGAGCATGTGAAAACCCATTTTGTAACCTCCTTTCTTGCAAAAGGACCAAAATAAAAGGCAGATTTAGACTTGGGGTCTGGGGTACCCCTCCCTGCAGCCCCCTGTCCCCCTGCCTGAATGGAGAATGCCAGGCCTCGGATGGCATTCAAAGATGCCTACCTGTCGAAAGCAGGGGCGTTGGCTTCCAGGCCTCTGCGGAGCCTCAAATGGTGGGAGCCCACCTGCAGCGAGGAGAGAGAACAGTGGTGATTCCTCTGCTTTGTGACTCGAGGAGGCACTTTTCCCCGCCAGCCAGGCAATATGGCAGCCACTCAGCCACCTTGGGGCCCACTCCCAGCTCAGAGGCCCTGATCACCAGACACTGCTAACCATGCTCCCAACTCAGGTCCAAGAGCCTTGAGAACAGATCTGCTTCTGCCCAGTCCTGCCTACAGCATGAATCTGCTGGGTGGGATTCTTCCAATGGACAAAAGAAATTCTAGGATAAAATTATGAAGCAAATGTCAGATCCCCAAACTCTCAGGCCAGAGAAACTAATTTTCAGCTTTCTCTCTCTTTCAAGGACCTCAAATTCCTGCTAAAATCTGGGTTATACTAGGGCTGGGGTTGTGGCTCAGTGGTAAGCGTTCGCCTAGCACATGTGAGGCCCTGGGTTCGATCCTCAGCACCACATAAAAATAAATACATAAAATAAAGGTATTGTGTCCAACTGCAACTAAAAAATAAATATTAAAAAAATCTGGATTACACTCATTATCTGATTTCATTTTAATATTTGCAACTACCTTCTTAATACTCACTTTAAAAAACGGATTTAAAATACATACTGTTACTAGAACGCTTGAAGGGGTGTCATTGGCAAAATCTGGGACAACCTGAGCATCAAACTATATAAGGACAGTAGTGGATTATAAACTAAGGAATAAAGTAGAGAAATCCATGGATCTATATTGACAATAGTTATGGAGAGATGGATGGATTCATGGATTTGTGGATGGACAAGTTCATGTGTAGATAGATGAACAGGTGTGGGCGTAGGTAGGTAGGTAGATGGCTGAGATCATGCACATGTGGACTAATGGATGAGCTCATGGATAGGCAGGGGGATGGATGGATTCACAGATAGGTAGATGAATAGATAGGTGGGTGGATGGATGGGTGAGTAGGTAAATAGCGAAGAAGGGAAGGCTCTTCCTTATAGAATATCAATTGTAAATGTAGAGGGAGTAGTAGAAAATCATCATTCTACAACCATCAGTAGTAAAGAACAGCCAAGGTCATCCACTGATAAGTCTTAAATGTGATAAAGAGCAAGATACTTGCGTGATCTCGAAGTGTCTACCAGAGGTTGTTTATATTGAAAGGGAAAACATTAATTCTAAGTGGCAAAACTGAAAAACACCTTGACTGGTGACCAAAATTAACATCACTAACAGGGGAATGATGGACACCATGTGCCTAAAAAGACAGTGTCACATAGGTAGTATTCTGGCCAAGGATCCATACCCGGAAACACCAGGAAACCCCCAAGTGAGAGACCCTCAAAGTAAAGAAAAAGGCGGCCTTCATTCAAGAATGTGTCAATGTCAGGAAAGACAAAAAGACCAAGAAATCCATCAGGGTAAAAAGATATGTGACAACTAAATACAGGATGTGACCCCAGACTGAAGGGGACAGGGTACTACAGAGGACATTACTGAGACAACTAATCAATTTGGAAACTGACTGCAGATCTGATTAAAGAACTGTGCCAATGTTGAATTTCTCAAATGTACATTTATCTCTGGTGACATCAGAGTGTAACTGCTGCAGGAAAAGCATCCTGAAATATTATAGGTAAGGAGGCGGAGTTGGAGGGTGCCCGACGATGCTGCCCACTCTCAAATGGTTCAGAAAATAAATGGCAAAACCACGTGTGTGACCACAGGTGACAACTGAGTGCATCTGGGTGAAGGACACAGAGGAGCCCTCTTCTGTTCTTACAATTTTTCGTGGGTCTGAAATTATTTCAAGTTTTGAGAAAAACACCATTCGGCTTTGCTCATCTCTACAGCGGTAAGAAGAGTGGTGTCCACCCGGCCAGGCATGGCCACTGGCCAGCCCTACCATGCATTCATGCACAGCTCTGAACACCTCGGACCATACACCCACCTCGCCTCAGGTTTGAGGAAAGCATCCTCTGAGACCGGGAGAAGGCCATCTATACAAATGATTCAACGCCCTGTGCTCCCAAGACCCTGGTCACAGGGGAACATTTCACACGACGAGGCCCCTCCACTGTGCACGAACAGGGCTCCTGAGGAGGGCTCAGCCCAAATGCCTTCATCTTGCTGCCAAGTTTCCCCTGCCCTCCTTTCCCCAGTCGCCACCAATGCCCGGCTGAGGAAAGGTCATACACTTGACTCGAAAACCGCGCACGGCCCTGCGGTACTGAGAAGGCCGCCCTACCCACCGCTCCTCTCGCTCTCTGGGCTGACGGGGCAGCGAGGAGTGCACTCTTTGCAGAGCCACCCCCGTGGGAACCTAGGGAGACGAGAACAGAGTCAGCGGTCCGGAGGCAGGGCCTGGCCTTCAGTCGTGACTAGCTGTAGGGCCGGACAGGCCCACTGTCTCTCCCTCCATCAGCCAAGGCTCTTCTTTTAAAAAGGTGGAGCCAACAGCAAACACCCCCACCCGGCAGCGTGGTCTCCAGGCTCTGGGACCTCGTTATGAAGACCACGTGCTCAGCCCACCGCTGAGGTACTGGGTGCCGACAGGAAGGGGAGGCAGAGTCTCGTGCCCTGATGATTACCACCCAGCGAGGGGCACCATGGAAAGACCCAGAGACACCAAAAAGTTCCCAACAAGCCTGTAGAACAAAGGCTACTTTGGTTGAGATTTGCCCTCAGGGGCCGAGAAGCAGCAGCACACCAAGGCGAGATGACACAGCTTGCCGTTTGTGGTCCCCTCAACATCAGTGGGGGTCAGTGGGAAGCAGATGGGATAAGCAGCCAACAGCAGGACGGAGGCCAAAGCATGGGTCTCCCAGGCCTCTGGCTTGTCTCTTTCCACGGGCATGACTGTCATGGGAAAGGCCTCCTGTCCCACCACAACCAGCCTGCCTGGGAACACGAAGGAGTCACGGGCCGGAGCTGGGGGAAAGACCTCCAAGTCTGCACCAGTGGTTCTCACAGTGTGGTCCCTGGGCGACTCTCGGGCCCAGCCCAGTGTGCTGAACCAAGACTCATGGGCGGGCCCAGAGGGAGCCTCCACGGGCCCTGGAGGCCATGACTACGCGCACCTGCTCCAGTGTGTGGGCAGCGCTGGTTTTGACTCGCTCCCTGTCTGCTCCCTTCCCCGGTGGCTTGGGTTGTAAATGCCCGTGAGGGGTAGGAAACGGACAGCGGGGAAGCAGCAGACCTGGGGACTGAAGTCCCCAGAGCAGGGTGTTGGACTTCAGTACAGAACCACAGGGGCCTTAGTGACCTCTCGGCCATGATGGCCCTGGGCCCCTCTGCCTCTAAAGTGGATAGGGGCCTGGGGTGGCAATGGAGGGGAACTGGAGCCCCCATTTTCTCAGGAAATCATCTCCTTCTCTGAGGTCCAGCTTGCCCGGCCCTGCCAGCACCTCCCCCACTGCTGGCCCACTCCTACGCTGACCCCCACTGCCCTCCTCTGGTGTCACCGACTCCTGAGGTCGCACGTGTCAGAGCTCAGGAAGGAGCTGCAGCTGGGGCGGAGTGAAGCCTCCCTGGGCCATGGACGCTGGAGCCGGGTCCACGGCTTTATTAGCTTCCCTCCCTCTACTTCGCCCCCCCACCATCGCCCCCCCACCATCGCCCCCGCCCCCTGCTAAAGGGTCAATTGCCCCTGTCTGGTGCCTAAAGTCGTTTCTTCCATCCTGGAGACCACACACGGTGTTTAAGGGGGTTGGCCTCTCCAACAGTCCAAGTCTCCAGAGAACCCGGCAACACTCGAAAGGGACTGAAATCAATCAGGATCCCCAGGCTCCCCCAGACCCACGGCTCCCACCTGGAGCCTGAGGGCAGGGTTCACCTGCAGCTTCTCCCACCTGGGGTCCTTCCCTCAGTCCCCTCTCCAGACTGAGCTACAGAGACTTCTGGCTAACCACAGCCCCCTGCTGACCCTCAGTGCAGCAGCCTGGGTTGCACAGTGGTGGGGGGGCTCCCACCGCCACGCAGCCCTTCCCAGCTCTGACGTCCCACCGGTGGGCTGAGTGATAGCAGTGCTAACAGACCAGCCTTCGGTCACTGTTCCCTGCACCCCACCCAAGAACACTGGCTTATCTGCATACCCAGAGGGCCCCACGCTGACCCACTGCAGTGCCCTCGGGGGCTTCAGAAAGCAGGCTGTCTCCACGCCACACAGCCAGCTGATCCATGTGGCTTTGGCCTGAGGGTCAGGAGGCTTAAGGCTCCCAGGCGATTCTTCAGCTTATTACTTCATTTTTAAAGAAATTTATTTTGGTGCTGGGGATGGAACTCAGGGTCTCACCGAGCGACACTCCAGGCCCCAGGTGATCCTAATGTATAGCACAGTTGGGCCCCACCCTGGGGGAGTTCCAACATATACAGTGGCTTAACCTGGTTCCTGCCCTCCTCTCCCATCCCACCTCTCGCCTAGGAGCCCAAGCATTGAACTCAGGCTGCTCCCTGGGTACGCCGCCATGACCCTGAGGTTACAAACACACACCTGCTATTCCCTTTGCCAGGGTTGCCTCCCCCACCTAAGAGGTCCCTCCCACCCCACCCCAGTCAGTCCAGACACGCATCCAGAAGGATGCCTTCGGGGCTCCCGGGCAGCTGCACCCCAGCCCCAGCCCCTCAACCTGGGCCGCCTGCCCCTCCCCAGAGCAGCCCAGGGGATCTCAGCCTTCTCTCATAGCTGTATTTACAGAACACTGTCATGTCCCTGCCCCAAGGCAGAGGCTCTGATCTTGATGCCACCTGTACCTGCAAGATGCTGTCCCAAGTCCCCAGGATGATCAACAGCTCAGCCAGGGGTAGCTGACTTCCTGTCAGAGAGACAGCCCAGGAAACGGTCTCTGTGCTGTGTCTCAGACACAGAACCGCACTTCTCTCTCCGCAGCCCGTCCCAGATGTTATCATGTCTTTCTATTATTAATACAGCCACCATTTTGAGCGTACTTGGTGCAGATCCTGTGTTAAATTCTAATATGTATTATGAACTTCGATCCTTTCTGTAACCCTGAGGTTGGTATTACTAACCCCATTTACAGAAGATTAAACTAAGGTTTCACAAACATAAGAACTTCTCAAAAGTATATGGTACTAAGTGGGGTGGCAGAATTCGAACCAGAACCCAACTCTGTATAACTTCAAAGTGGGGGGAGCGATGAATTTTTAAGGTAAAATTTCACTTATAAACTGTACAACCTGTTTACATTATAAAGACAAAACTGTTAAAGGTACAGAGAGAGACTCGAGAGCCAGCGTGTGTTCTGAAGGCCTCACGCCTGTGAATACACGCACAAATCATCACCCACAGGCCCCTCTGTCCTCCCCACCCTGGCAGGGATGGCGTTCCCAGAGTGGCCCTCAGGAAGGTACTGGTTTGCAACTTGGAATGCAGAGCTCTCTACCCCCAAGTCCTTGAATGTTTCATCCTAAGTAATGAAAGAAGGGGAAAAGCTCAAAACGGAGGAAAATAGCCAGAACAGACCCGGAAGCCCGCTTTGATGTCCAGCCTGGGTGACCACAGTCCACCATGGAAGGCTGCCCTCCTGGTGCCCTCTGAAGATGGCTGCATCTCTCTTCAATGGCGGATGATACTTCAGAGGATAAGCACAGGCCTGGGGCCCAAAGGTCAACAAATCCCTAATAAGATTAACGAGCACTAAAGACTTTAGAACTGCGTTTGAAGACACCACGGAGGCGTCAGTGGAGCTCAAGTTGTTAGCAATCTAAGAGGGACGGAGCCGCCAGAAAGCTGAGCGCCCAAGTCCCTCGGCCCGGCTCACATCAGACTGAGGCACTTGGTCCACGACGGGGTCAGGTGGCACCTGCAGCATCACCACCATGGTCAAGCTGGAGACCAAAACCAAAGAAGGGACGGACAGGCCTGGTTTTGTTTTTCAGACGAGGGAAACCAGAAAACTCCAAGAGTCCTAGAAATGGAACCAAAGATGGCCAAGGAGTTGGAAGGCCTTGGAGGAGACAACATGGCAGAGGGACGACCACGAGGCTCCCCCTCCAGACTTCAGGTGAGCCATGGGAGGAAGAGTCAGGCCTTCTCCTGTCCCTGAACACCCTGTGGAGACAGGCAGACAGACAGAGGCACAGTCCAAGGAGGAAGTCACAATCAATCAGAGCCATCCCCAGGTAGAGCCCAGAGCACGGCCTCCTGGAGAAGGACCCTCGAGTTTGGCGTGAGGGCAAGACAGATAATTCCAAAGGGTCCTTCCAAAATTCTAAGACTGTCACGACAGTCCCCTCCATTTGGGGATTTCTTACAAACTGCCCATGAAATATAACATGGTCTCCTGATTCCTTTCTGTACTACACTCATGAGATCTATGATTGTCATCCTCTTAAAAACAGAACAAGATGTTTCCAAAGGAAAACTCCAAATTTAAAGACAATCAAGCCTCAATCAGCTGTGATAGGAACGGCCTGGGTACCCCTTCAACGGCCCAGGCTGGGAACTCTGTAGAGACAGAAAGGAGAACAGGAGCGGCCCAGGCCTGAGGCAGAGCTGGGAAGACAGACACGAGGTTTTCTAGCAGCGATGGGAACGTTCTAAAATTAGATTGTGGCGCTCGTTACACAACCCTGTAAATACACTGCCAAGTCGTGTGTTTTAAACGGGTGGAGTTGACAGTGAGGAAGTTGTATCTCACTAAAGCCATTTCCAAAAACCAGACTGCTTTGGAAGTGCTCTGGGGGAATTGTCCTTGTTACAATCCAGCTCCGGTGCATTTGCCTATGTTACCTCTCAAGGCCACCAGCCGTACCCCTGCATCTGGGTTGTCTAGCTAAAGACATTGTCCATAAAACCTTCCCCCCACAGAACCCAGAGACCAAATGAGATGCTCAACTATCTGCCTCACTCTCAGAGTTGACATGGCAGTTAGCCGACATGCCAGCACCATCAAGGCAGCAACTTGGGGACAAGAGGCTCACCTACCAGCAGCACTGGGCCAAGTCCAGGCTGGGCTAAAAAGCTGAACTCAAGACCAGGGAGTCTGAGCCCTACTGTGTCAAACACCCCTAACGACCTGGCACACAGCACCTGGAGCCTCTTCAGCCGCTGCTGGTTGCGGACCCAAACGCAGTCACACGAGAGCCCTCGGTAAGAAGAGCGGGAGACGACAAAGGCCCCAGGAGACGGGCTTTCCGAAGGCTCCCATGTTCCTTCAGGGCAGGGGAGAAGATGGGGTCAGTGTGAGGAATCTCCAGCCGGCTCTGCCCTGACCTGTCTGCTGAGGGAGCAGCCCAGCGTCCATTGACAAGTGTGCTCTTGGACAGAGTCCGCAGCCCTTGAACTCTTCCCAGGACACAGAGGCCAAATCCTTCTGGCACTGACCAACACCCTGCTTTGGATGCTCCAGGGTATTTTTAGCAACCACAAGAAAGCTCTGTGCAATCTGCACGTGGCACGCAGGCACCATGAGTGCCAGACACACGACACCACCACAAAGGGCCCCCTGACCCTCTAAGGCCTCTATAGAGCTGCTGCTCTCAAAAGTCATTCTCAGCACACCAAACTTAGGGTCCCATCTAAGGCCACCCTCCCAGGCACGCTCCGTGGCACCCCCAGCAGGGTCCACGCTCTGCATCCGGATCAACAGCAAACACCATGCATGTTTGTAGATCCAGAAATTGCAAAACAGCACATACATGCCACACACCACACACACACACACACACACACACACACACAGAGCTCACCTCAGTACAGATGGGCTGAGGAAAGACCAGAAACTACAGCACAAGAGAGAAACATTTAAAGAAACACACCACAGTTATCAAAGGGAAGGGCTGAGAAACTGTAACAGAAGTGGACATGTTTTTGTTTATATTACCTACCTGGAGCCCTGGCTGCTCCCAAAACAGTGGAACCGAGCCTCTGATCTGGACAAAGGACGACACTCCATCATCCATGTAAATCGTCTGCAGCAGAAGGAAACAGAGGGAAAGGTATTCTTCAATGAAACCAAATGTCCTGGGCCAGTAACAGGATCTGGTGCCTGCGACCCGACACCAGCCACAAAGGGCAGACAGTGGACTGCGGCGCCCTCTGCTCTCTCACCCAGCATGGTGATCCACAGGGCACACCAGTTGCTGGCCAGCATCAGAGGAGGGGTCTGGAGAGGGCTGGAGGTCCCCCAGACCTGGTGGGAATTCACCCTTCTAGGATGCAAACTTACCCACATCCCTAAAAAGCCCAGCACCTACCCACCTCTATGTAGGAATAGAAGCAGATGTGCCTGGGGTTTAACTAAGACCTTCCTCGGAGCCTCTATTTTTACCTGTCCAATAGCTAAAGAGCGAGAGCTACTGGGAAAGGATTAAATGAAATAAAATGAACAAGCAATACAGCCAAAGGACCTAATTGACTGCACCTGTCAGTCTAGTGCTTCACAATGTAAGGCAAGACTGGACTTGAACTTGCACCTGGCCCTGTGCCACCAAGTTCTTGGAATACACTACTCCATCAGCAAAAGCAACACGGTGTCCATGAGCTTCCAGAGTATAGCCCCTGCATAGAAGCAAATGCCACTCAGGCTTTAAAAAAATGTCACCCCCAGCCCTGTTATTCAGCATGTGCCTGCGGGCCTCCAGAGTTACTGGAGCACAAGGAGTCTGAAGGACAAAAGGTACAGTCCTGAGCACCCAGGGGAAGGCTGCTGTGGTTATCAGATGCCTGGCCTTTATCTGTGCAACCCTACCCTGGCCTGGCGAGGCCAGCCTGGGCGCCGCTGAGAGTCCTTTCCATTGCTAACCAGCCTGCTCCCTTACAGGGTAGCTTTCCACGCAGGTTAGAGCTCGCTCAGATCACACATGCATTAGTAATTCCGCAGGGGAGAGCGTGACATGAGACCCGCAGTCCCCTGGACCACAGGAATGACACGAGCCGGGTATCTAGGCCGCGAGCTGTAATTCTAGCCTTCATCTCAGAAGAAGCGAAGCACTGGGTTCAGAATGTGCTGTCTGCTGTGACCCTCCAGGATTCTAAGAAAAACAGGACAGAATAGCAGGCTGTTCAAATGACCGCAGCCCTGAATGCTACCTTGAGATTAAGGACATCAACTGACCAGCACTGGGAGCCACACAGGTTCAGATTCCTCAGAGAGAAACCAGCTGGGCCACTTTCTAAAATGGACCGTTAACAAGCCCAGAATCTGACTGAGCGAAGGGACTCTCCTCCTTCACTCTGATGACCACGTGCCAGGAGTGCTGGGTCCTCCCGAGCTGCACTTGCCCAGAACCAGCTTCTGAACACCGGCAGGAAGGTCGTGTCGTCTGCTCCTTCCTCCCTGGGAGAACCATCCATGTCTGTCCCCGCACTGCCCGGGTCCACACCTGGCCCCCAGCACCAGTGATGCTCCATGGCACTTGCATTCAGTGGAGAAGAGGGAGTCCAAGGACAGACAGGGCTGGAGGGAGACCAGGAGGAGCCCCAGGCCCCGGAAGGCAAACAGACGGCGGGAACCCCAGGGCCATGGGAGGCCAGCAGGAGTGTGGCTCCTGGGCTGGGGAGCCGAGAGGGCACCCTGAGCTGACAGTGTCAGAGGTGGTGGGAGCAGAAAACAAAGGGCCATTTAAAAAATGGTTTGGAAAACAGGAGAATATGCAACTCTGTAACCAGTTTCATCTGGAAGGCTCCTGCTAGACTCCTATCCAACGCCTGCCCCTGCCCTCTGGGAGCACACCCAGTGGTACCCACCCCCACATCACTTGCTGCACTTATCTTCCATAGTCAAATGTCTTTTTTTTTTTTTTGACAGAATGGGGGACTTTTGGGGTTGTTTTTCTGCACAGTGAGTCACGGGTGTAGCGTCCACCGCATGACTCATGGCAGAGCTGAAAGGCTCAGGACTTCCGCCCAAGGAGCCCGAGATGCCACTCACACGAGCACACAGCATGTGTGCGCACACCACACAAGTATACACACAACACACACACACAGAACATGTGTGCACGCCCAGCCAGCCCAGGAGGAGGAAGACTGCTAAAGATAAAAGTAGAGCGGGGCCAAGGCCCGGCTTGGGCCTCCAGAGCATGAATTCTGGAAAGCCAATTTGCCTCCCCAGAGTCTCCACCAAGCCCCTGGCTCTTTGTGTGGTCCCCTGATTGTTCACAGTGGTACCTCCAGGGCCCACTGCAGCGCCTCCACTTCCCTAGAGGATGGCTCAGGTCTGAAGACTCCAGACCCCAGCAGGATCCCTGGCCAGCAGAGGTCTGTGGCAACACCCCCAGGGCTATACTGCCCCCACAAGCCCCCTTCCCCCTGGGGCAAGGTGACCAGATGCAAAGTCTGCCACTTATTTCAGATGTAGAGGAAGAAGCCAGCCACCTGCTGAATGCTTTGGAAAATGCCTCAGAGCCCTGCAAGCTGCTCTTTCACCATGAGCAAGGCCATGGGACACCTACTTGAGAAGGCTCTGCCCTTAACACCACCCACCTGGGGGCTCATGGTCCTGCTCCACAGACTCGAGGGAGTAGACCCACCTGGCTCCCATCAGACCATCTCGGTCCTGAATGGGCAAACCGCTACCAGGCCACAAGGCAGGTTCCTCTGTGCTTACACGCAGCCCACCCTTTGCAGGGCTGGCTGCTCCCTGAACTCAGCAAAGACAGCAGGCCGGGCTACACCCCCTCCCACCCAGCTCCCATCTCCTGATGCATTAGAAGTACCTTCAGCAGCAGGTGGCCAGACAAAAGCAGCTGAGCGGAGGCTGGGAAGCACCCTGGGAGGGTGGCAGCGCCTTGGTCTTGTTCCTGATGCATCCCATGTCCCCACATGCCTAGGAGGGGAGCCCTGAGCCCAGGTGGCTCACTACCAGACTCTGCCCAAGGGCCCAGGGTTTGTTTCCACGTTGCTTTGAGGACAACCTGGACACAGCTCTGAGTGACATGGCCCTCCCCAGAGGGTCACCCTCTTCCCCAGCATCATAGTGGCCAGAATGCATGGGGTGTCTGAAGGCCTGAGCCAGCCTGGGCTCTTCCTTCCCAGAGGGTCCATCTGGGCAGCTGGAAATGCACACACCCAACAAAAAACAAAACAAGGCACAACCCTCATGTCTGGTTCCAAGTCTGGTGAAAACGAAGTCACCTCGGGGTGAAGTTATACCTCTCGGTGGGTGAGGGCTGGCGCCTGCAGCTGCCCACATCTCTGGGTGGACAGCAGGTGGTGGAGCCCAGCTGCACCACCATGATTGCTGCCCCTGGGAGCAAGGTCTGGTGGGGACTTTATGGAGGCACCAGCACTGTCGGACCCAAAGGAGGTCAAGGGATGAAAAGCACCAGGGCTTATGGGAGCCAGGGAAGCCCTCCCCCAGCCCCAAGCAGGAAGGCAATTTAAATAGCAACTTGCTTGCTAGGGTGCGTCCCCTCTGAAACGCAGGTGAAACTGATGGCCATTATGAAACATTAAGGGTGGGACCACTGGGATCTTGAAGAGGTGATTGGGCTCTGCCCTTGGCAAGGAGGGGGTTGTCTGAGAGTGGTTTGCTCATAGCCAGCTTGGCTAGTGCTCCCGTGTGACACCCTGCACCCTGAGACTGCCAGCAAGGCCATCGTCAGATGTGGCCCCTCAACCTTGGACTGTGAGTCAAAATAAGCCTCTTCATAATTTACCCAGGCTGTGGTGCTGCATTAATAACAACACAAAGCAGGGGGCTGGAGGAGCCTGCTGGTCCTATCTCTAAGGCCCCACATGGAAGACTCAGGAGACATGGCGTAAGGTGCCTGCTCCTGAACCCTAGCAAGTAAAGTGGGACAGCAAGAGCCACATCTAAGTCACTGGGCACATTGCAGGAAATAACCAGAGCAAAGCCCCCAACAGAGTCTAGGGCCAAGTCTGCTAGTCTCCAGAAGGAGAAAGGGGAGATTACAGGAGGTTTTCCTAAGGCTAAATGCATCATGTCTAAAGCACAGCCCCCTCACGGGTCAGAGGTGGGTCAGATGTGTTAGACTTCTAGCCCTCAACACTTCAAATCACGACCTCGTTGCAAACAAGGCCTTTGTAGGTGCAATTAGTTAACTGAGGCCATCTTGGAGGAGGGCGAGCCCTGGATCAATATGACTGTCCTCCTTATAAAGAGCGGAAAACAGGGAGAAGGGGTTGAAAGGGGTGATGTGGCCACAAGCCTGGTTACACCTGGGGTGACCAGAAGGGAGAAGAGGTGAGAAAGAATCCTTCCCTAGGGGCTTTGCTAAGAACATGGCCTTTCCTGACACCTTGATGTCACACTCCAGCCTCCAGAACTGTGAGACAACAAATGCCCGTTGTTTCAAGCCATCCTGTGGGGGTGGGGGTGGGGGTTCATTGCAGCATCCCCAGGAAACTCATGGTGTCCAGTGTGAAAATGTCCTGTCTGGGGCTGGGGTTGTGGCTCGGTGGTAGAGCAATCACCTAGCATGTGTGAGGTCCTGGGTTCGATCAATCCTCAGCACCACATAAAGATAAATAAATAAATGTATTTTGTCCATCTACAACTAAAAATATTTTTTTTAAAAAATAAAATGCCCTGTCTTCTAGGAAAGGGTAGAGGCGTAGAGGGCAGCTGTCTCCCTAATGAAGCGCTGGGTCAGATGCAGCAGATGAGACCAGTTTGTTTTATTTTTTAAACTGGTTTAAATCCAAAAACCTTGGGAACACCAACACCTGGACCAGATAAGGGCTTGGGTGCCCCAGGGCGAGACAGAGAATGTGGTGGAGATGGGGCTCAGGAACTCCCTCGGGGAACCCCAAGGTGATCTCTGGAATCTGGTGTGTCACCAAGTTCAAGGTCTCTGTCATGTTGATCTTGTACAAATGTGCTGCACAGCTTTGGTCCCCTCTTCCCAGCACAGAACCCAGCAGATGATACATACTAAAGATCCGCTGAGGGAACTCAGGGGCCTGAAGGGCAACAACCTGGACCCAAACGAGGACAAGGTGCTAGTGAAGGTGGAGTGAGAGATGAAGTCATTTGCATCAAGCAGACAGGAGCAAGGAAAATGGCCTCCAGTGGGGGGCATATACCCTCTCTGACTCATTTTTTACCAGATAATTATGGAGCAGCCTGGTCAACACTCAGAGGAGCAAGCTCCGTGGACAGCCACAGGCAAGACAGCGCACCTGCTCCTGTGCCAAGGTCCCTCCTGTGGACACCGGACTCCAGAAGGAGCCTCTCCTTGCTGCACCTTTGATGTGCAACAGCTGGCTCCTGCAAATGGTGACCCACACCAATTTTCGTCATCTTTGAACCCCGGATCATGCACAAGCTCACACGTAGTGGAGACAGGTGTGCAAATCTGTGCTGAATAAATTGACTCAAGTCCTCCCAAGAAGCCTCCCCCAGCAGCAGAGAAGGAGGACACAAAGCTACACCTGTGCTCCTCCCGCAGGTGTGCAGTGCGCCACCCCCCGCAGTGTCAAAACAGTGCCCTCCTGGGGCCTCCTTTCTTAGAGTTGATCCCCATTATCCTATAAGATGGCACTGTCCTACAGGGAGAAAGCTAGAGCAAAAACAAGTTGTAAGACAGCATCTCTGAGAATGAGAACAGAAGTTAGGGAACGAGGAATTTCACAGATGGTTCTGTTCGCGGGAGCTGAAAGCCCCTGCCACTCAGCACACAGACTCCCCAACTGCCAGGTGCAAGTGCACGCTTCTAGGTGGAGTCAGCTCATTTAGAATAATAATCAGAGGGCTGGGGATATAGCTCAGTTGGTAGAGTGCTTGCCTCACATGCACAAAGTCCTGGGTTCAATCCCCAGCACCACAAAAAAAAAAAAAAAAGAAAAACAATCAGTCCACCATCTTTTTGAGATGGACACCATTACCCTAAGTACTGTATGAAGACACAATTGGTGTGAATATACTTTGTATACAACCAGAGATATGAGAAAGTGTGCTCTATGTGTGTAATATAAATTGTAATGCATTCTGCTGTCGTATATAACAAATTAGAATAAAAACTAATAAAAAAAGAATAACAATCAGTTGCTTCTCTTCCTCCTCTTGTACTGATCTACTTTTTTTCCTACAAAGTTTTTTCAACCCCTATTGGCTCATCTGTCAGCTGCTCCCTGAATAAACTGGCCACAGCAAACATTCCCAATTGCTTTTAGTTAAAAACACCCGAGGTAAGCAACATTTCCCCAGCAGGAGATGTGAACCAAGAGGAAGAGACAGACCATGCAAACCAGAGGCCACATTTTCATGCAGAGTTCCAATGTCACAGATACAGAGAGAAGTCATGATCAGAACCAGCTCAACTGCATCAGGGCTGCTTGTGTCCCCAGGAGAAACATGTTTGCATGAGCTGTGTGACTCTGAACCACCTGGTGTCACGGGTGGGCCCCTGGCACTGACCTGCTCTGTCTCCACGAAGTTGGACACGTGGCCATCGTCGTTCACGCCTCGAGTGTGGAAGCGAGCGCCGGCACGCTCACAGCTGATGCGGGAGATGAGGCAGGCCTTGGCCTGCTTGTGTGACGCGTACACTGTGCGGATGGCCACCACCCCACAGATGACCTTCAGGAGCCAGTCACAGCAGCTCACCTGGTGCTGCCTCAGGGGCACGTGCAATAGTTGGTTCCTGCAAAACACAGCCCCACACCAATTCTGGTCACCCGGCAGCCTCCAGCAAGCATGGCACCCAAAGCAGGTGTGGTGACACACCCATGGGGCCTGGCTTCCAGCTCAGGAGGAGGCGGTGTGCTCTGTGCCCATGTGAACTGGGGGTGTACAGACCCAGGGAGCTCATGTGCCTCAGACCGACCCCAGACGGAGGCCCACTGTGTCACACACAGGAGAAAGAAGCAAGAAGACCTCTCCCAAAGGGACCACTGCGTGGACAGTGTCAGCAAAGGGCAGCAGAGCTGGGTGTGAGCCAGTCGGGCACCATGCAGGGACTTCACAGGGGCCTCAGGGTCAATCGCGGCCACCACATGTTTTGAATAGAAGCCCATCAGCAAAGAATTTAATCACACGTTTGGATTAAATCATAATTATGGTAACGACAAGTGATAAAAATAGTCATGAATTCATGCACACTGATCTAGATGTTATACACACAGGCACAGGAACTACCGTGGGCATATGAAGTAAAAAATGGTGAAAATAAAACTTCACAAGGTTCTCCCCACACTGGGAGGATTCTTCTGGGCTCTGGAGTCCAAGGTGGTAAAGCCAGGCGCGTGCTCTGGGATGGGCTAAGGCACCACAGCCTTGAAATGACCCCACGCGAGAGGTGTTGTCAGAAACCCCTTTTACAGATAAAGAAACTGACACACAAGAAGTGAAGCACTTGCCCGCGGTCACGGGGTCACGGAGCAGTGGGTGGCCGGGGGTTCCTACAGCCCCTCTTGGGGAAGACCCCGCACCTACATACGGACACACGCCCTCCCCTCCCCTGGCCACCTGGCTCCCCTACACCCAGGAGACCTGGCAGTGCCGTTCGGGGAGGCCTGTCCCCAGGGGACTCCCTCTGACGGGTCTGGAGTAAATCGAGGTCACAATACCCTACTTGTTTAAAAAAGGCAACCTGATTCCTGCCCTGGAGCCTTCCTCAAAACAGTGCAGCTGTTCTCACTGTTGGAAATCCGTGCTGTGAGCTGTGGCGGATCTCGGGAAGCTTCTGGAAGGCCCCTCCTCGAAGGGCCCACTTCCTCAACTGTGACCATGGTCACTTTCACCTGCAGGGAGCGTGGCCTGCTTCTGCCCCCATTGAGCTCCTCTGCGTGAAAACCAGTGACCACAGAGTGTGACTGTACGGAAAGAGGCCTCCCTCTTCTGAGTCACTTGCTAAATTTCAGATGATAAACCACTGTGGCGGCAGAAGCAGGCTCTAGATTTCAGAGCCAGCTAGTCACGGGGGCAGGGGAGGAGGCTCTTGGCAAATGCATGACTTGGAATAATCTGTTTCTAGAGATGCCGCCTGGCCCTCTGGGGAGGGGAGCTCAAATCCAGGAGGAGGAGGGCCACCTCTGTAAGGGAAACAGCTCTGTGCCTCCTGCCAGGACGTAACTGTGGGGAAGCAAAGCTTCAGAGGCTGCACCATAGCAAGGCAGGGAGAGGTAACAGGCCTGTGGTCACTCTGCCAGTGACTCAGTACGAGCAGTTTGTGGGCCCCTCCCTCAGCTCCCATACCAGGTCCCAGAGTGGGCACCAGCGGCACCAGGCGCCCTGCACAGTTGCCTCCTCCTCACCAACTGCAGATCTAGTATGAGTCCACTTCAAAAAGGGGCACCCCGGGAACCTCCCCTCCCCAAGACCTCTCTCTGCTCAACTTCACCTGTCTCCTCTTTATCTGAGTGGTGTTGTGACCCTCATATCTCCAGCCCCCGAGCTGGCGTTTAAATAAGTGCTAGGGCAAGACAACCCAGAGTTCTCCTACGGGCTCCAAGGAGTCCTGCCTCTGCTCCTGACAGCCTTCAAAGCCTCATCATGCACAGCCTGCAGCTCGGCTGCCTAAGGGACACATGCTGTCCCTGCAAAATGGAGCCAACCACTCACAGCAACGCTGATCCCTGAGCCCGCTGCTGGGCCTGTGTCTGCAGACCACGGTGGGCGGCTGGCTGGAAACGTGGGAGGAATCTCGGACCCAGTGCAGACCTGTGCACCAGAATCTGCATCTTAACAAGACCGGCAGGAGATTCACAAGTGCTTGAAGTGTGAGCCCCACAGCAGAGAAGCAAAACTCCACTCTCGCAGAGAATCAAGCAACATGTGGGGCAGGCGCAGTGGGAGGACACAGGGACACAGCGAAGGCCCTTTTCTCAACAGAAGGCAAGAATTCATGAGTGGGGAGCCAAGGCTCCAGGGAAAGACCTCTGATGGCCCTGTGTGGGCAAAGGGGAAGGCCCAGGGAGAGGGAACGGCCTCATCAGCCCTGTCCCAGGGCTGGGAAAACCAGTGCAGCCCCATGGGGGGTGCTGGGACCCCCACACTTCACACAGACCAGCTCCTGGGAACAGACGCTGCAGCACAACCCCCACCCACCTGTGCTCTGCCCTGCCTCTCACCCATCTCAGGGAAGCTCAGGGAAGAGCATCAGCAAGGGCCCAAGCCCTACGCAATCACTGCCCCTTGGCTTCTCTGCAGGACGTGGCGGGGTTGTGACCCCGGGGTCAGGAGGCTTAACTGTGCACAGAGTCGATGCCAAATAATCCCCCCGACAGAAACCCAGCCCACCCTGCTTGGTCACATCCCTGCAAGGCTCCTTGGGCAAGATGCTCAGTTTCCCTGTTGGCCAGAGCTGGTTTAGCTTTGTGATGACCAGTTTGGGGTCTAGAGCCAGAATGCCTGGGTTCAAATCCTGGCTCTGCCACACACCAGGTGTGTGAAGTTTAGCAAATCCCCCCTGCCCACTTGTTCACGCCTCAGTCTCCCTCTCTGTAAATGGGGTCACAGACCCTTCTTCAGAGAGCATGAGGATTCTGAGTTAGTATCTACACAGGGCCACCTGAACCCATTCCCCAAGCATGCCGGGCAGGCGGGATTCAGTTTACTTTGCTCCTCACTGGGCAGAGTGGGCACGGATCTCAACCCTCAGCCTCCAGAAGTGACCCCAAAATCCTGGGGCTGGTGCAAGGTGGGCTCAAGGACTCAGGGGCCAGGCAGAGTCCCCTCACCAGAAGAAGGAGCTCCCCCACTCAGAACTGTCGTCACCCTGCTTCTGCGCCCGCACAGTCAGGTCAAAGCGGGAGCCATCGTTGGGCCAGGCGAAGTAGAACACCCCCGAGCTGAGGATCTTCCTCAAGGCCAGCAGCCGGTCCTCCTCCTTGGCCTCCTCCTGGAGAGGGTAAAAATCCGTGGCCGTGATTTTGAAGATTTCTGCATCTGGAATTCTGCCCACCGACGTGCAGCCTGTCACCAACACCAGGAAGCTCAGGGAAGCGCCACCTGGAAGGGAAGTCAGGCAGGAGAGCTGAAGGGCTCATCGAGTACTCACCGTCCCAGGGCGCTCCTAGAGCTGTCCCCAAGCCTGCGCATCCCTGCCCAGCAGCACAGTGAACCTGGCAGTGAGCGCCTTGGAGACGTGGAGGCCCTGCTTGAACAGACCCTCCGGGTGGTTCTGTACCTAGAGCCTTCCAGACCCCAGTCCTCCGCCATGTCTGACCTGCAGTCCTCCAAGCTCCTCCCCACACCCCTGGCCACTGCCTCGACTTGGACCTAGCCTGTCAGTCCCGCGCAGCTGTCTCAGCCCTGTCCGATGGCAGACACGAGCCCCCCCATGGCTCCCACTGTCCGCCAGGACTGACATGGAAGCCCTTCCTGAGGTGCTCTTGTTCTGCCCCTGCCCCCTCCTGTCCTGCCCCACAGGTGGGTGGACACACCCAGGCCTGCTGCTCTCAAACGTGCACACCTGATCCACCCTGTGCTTTGCCCAGACGTCTCACGGCCGCCCACCCAGCAAGACCGCCCTCCCCCTCAGCTCCCAGCCCCTCTGCCCCCCAGCAGGGCTCAATCTCAGCACAGGCCTCCCACGTGCTTCTGCCCCCTGCCCCCACCAGGCTGACTCCTCCTCCATCTCCAGGAAGTCCACTGGGCCCCCCAAGACAGGGTAGGGTCCCTCCATAGGCCAGCAGCTCCCTGTCAGCACTAGGCACACAGAGCTGATGGCCTGGTCCTGCCTGAGTGTCTCAGCCGAGGGGTTCCTCTGGGTAGGGCTCTGTGGCACTGGTGACTCCCAGCACACAGGTGCCTGGCGAACACTCCTAAGAGATTCCTGTCCTGCCTCCCACACCACGCGCCCTCTTGGGGCCAGCCACTGTTCTATGCCCCCACCCCTCAGCTGCTTCCCTACATCCTGTGCAAATCGGGGATGGGTGGCAATGCTGTGCCCCAGGGACAGTGGAACACTGCCCCCATCAAAGGACAGAGCCCAGGAGACAACCTTTGGCCCAGAGGACCCTTCCCACCCCCCTGAGCTCTCAGGAATCCCTACCAGCAAGACCTCTTCCCCATGGCCAGTGGCCACTGTCTAGAAGATGGACCCTGATGTCTGCAGCTCACGGCATGGGAACCATGCTGGCCCCAACAGTGTTCCCTGGTGAGCAGGTCCTGGTGCACCACAGGGGTAGGGCACCCACAGGCAGGTCACCGGCCCCTCTGACTGCTCCCACTCCCACCACCAGCAATCCACTGAGGAACATCCAGAGCACCGGGGACGTTATTCTGTGGACAGTGACGGGCGGGTGTGGGGTGCTGTGAGTGTCTGTGTGTCTCAACAGGACAGGGGGCATTTAGGTGGGACTGACATCCTCAGGTCTCAGCCCTAAAGACGCAGTCCCACAGCTCGGCTGCAGAGTCTCCTGACCTGGCCAAGGAAGCCTCTGTGGTCTAGCTGAGGAGTGGCTCAGGAAGAGGCATGGAAAATTCTGCCTTCCATCCCACCCTCCGAGACAGGAAGTGGATTTCTAGCCCACGCCCTCGGCAGCCTCTGCGTGGGGGCTGAGTCCCTGGCACGAGTCCCAGGCTGCTGCGGAGGCAGCCAGCAGCTCCTGGCAGGCCGGTGGCCTGGGGGAGGCTCGGGGGGGGGGGGGCTCTTAAGAAGAATGCCACTGGAGAATTCGGCTCCTGAGTCCTGGGTGAGGGGCTCGAGGGGAACAGGTGGGTGAGAGCCACCGCTGATGAACAGTTAATACTTAGGACAGCACCAACAAGCACCAAGCACCAAGCACTAGTTCTTCCTGCACACTGACTTGATCTCTCGACAACCCAGCAGGGGTACATCATCACAGAGAGGGAAATGGAGACACAGGGAAGTTAAGTGACCTATCCACGTGACAGGGTTCCAAACCACTTTCTGGCTGCACCTCCGGGGCAAGTTGCTCCAGCCCAGCCTGGCTCCAGAGCGGAGTCCCTTCCCTCTCTGCAGGTATCAGCACCAATCTTCCTCCCAATGCTCTTTCAGGGCCACCATCACCATTTCACACACGAGTGACTGTCCCCAGAGCTGCTGGAATGCAGCCCAAATACACTGGTCTAGATAGGAACCTAGATGCAAAGGTATGGTCAGCTTAGACCCAGGTGCTGTCTGGCCCTGGAGTCCAGTGGTATCTGTGGCTATACTCTTGGAGAAAGTGTGGCCACCAGCGGGCCCCCTGTAAACTGCCTGTGTCACCCTGATGTCCCCATACTGAAATACAAGGTGGTGGGATGAGGCCGTGACACCTCTGGGAGATGTCACAGCAGCAGAGTCCTCTACAAGGGTCAGTGCCCTCATTGAGGAGCTCCAAGGAGCTCCCTGGCCCCACCCACCTGATGACACCGAAATGGCGCCATCTTGAACCAGCTCCTCACCACAGACTCCACACCTTGACCCTGGGCTTGAGCCTCCACAGCTCGGCTCCCTCTAGGGACCTTGGCCCTGGAGGCCTGACAAGCTGACAGCACAAGTCACCTTCTGTGTAGCATGGAGATCCCAGTGTAGTCTGCATATTGACAGGGACAATGACAAAAGCCCCACGGCCCTCTTGAGCAGTGTCCTGTGGAATCCGGAGACTGGATACCTGTCGCCATCTATTATTTAAGGAACACGCGGACAAGCTCTTCCCGAACAGGTGGAATTTCGAGCCACATTTCCATCCCGCCCCGTGGAGTTTCAGCCTACCACAGCACAGCTGCGCTTCTCTGTTTTCTTTCTTTTTTGTGCTTCTGTGTTTCCGTGGGTCACACCATCGCACCATGCAGTGCCGCAGTCTGGCTGGGCACAATCAGGAGCCACTTGTCAAGTGAACCACACACGCCAAACAAAACAGCCTCTCAGGAAAAACCCTCAGAGCCTCAACTGCCACCACCGGCTTTCCACAAGCCTCTCTCTCCCACACAAGCTTCTCTCCACCTCCCACAATCCTCCTGCTCTTGAGGCCGATTGGCTGGGTCACGTGGGCGGAGCCAAAAAAGTCCCCCAATGAGCAGCTCCGTGGTCTGAAAGGGCAGGGAAACAGCCCAATGAGCATCACCGCAGAGGAGCCAATCAGCTAGATACTGCTAGGGCCGCTGTGAGCCAATCATCAGCCGGCAGCTGGAAGTTTGCTGGGGCCCCTTCGGCTGTGGCTCTCAACAATGCAGGATTCTGTTCCTACACTCAGTGTTTGGAAGAGCGTTTTCTGGCTCATCATTGGGGTTACGTTTAGTGCCCAACTGGTTCAACAACGTAAACAGTACAGAGTCAATAAAACATTTGGTCAAATAATTATGTAACAAAAAAGTAAAACCGTGTTAGGAAGGCATCTCAATGCCACGGGCACACATTATTTCTTAATGCAACAAAAGCAGATTCTGCACCACTTCTAATTCTGCTTTTCTCTTTGTAGCTGTAAACATGATGCACATTTGTTTGTGTTCATAGATGGGAACAGAAAGAACCTCATTATAGAAGTGCCACTCAATTCAGAGTCCTCCGAAGTCAGGACTAAAAAACAACATGACAGGGTCCTATCACAAAATGACCACCACTGCTGTCAGCTGTCAGCCACAGCCCCCAAGTCCTCCTTCACTGCTGTGGGGAGCCGTCCCGTGGCCATCCCCCGACTTGCAAGTCAAGCTTTACCTCAACACTGCTGACAGTGAAGTTCTCCACTTCTGTGTGGCATCCCAGAGTTCGTCCCTCTGGGCCAGCACCCAGGAAGGTGCCTTTCCCCCTACCATGAAGGAAAGATGACTGTGGGGGGGTGCGGGCAGTGAGGACACGAGACCTGCCCTCCGCGTGGGCACATTCTTGCACAAAGCAGTTACAGGGAAGAGTCAAGGATCTGGGAATTGTCTTGCTCAGAGTCCCTGCGTCTGCGCACCTTGGACGGTGTGTGTGGCTGCGCAGGGACCCAGACCTGGGCCTCTGGGCCTCTCCAGAAGGCTCCCTCCCTTCCAGGAGGCTCCACCCGGCACACGTGGCTTCCTCTGTCTTCCACTGTCCTTCCATATATATATATAAATAAATGTGTATATATATATATATATATATATATATATATATATATATATATATATACGATTATTTATTTATTATATTTTGAACCCAGGGCCGCTTAACCCCTGAGCCACATCCCCAGCCCTTTTTATTCCTTATTTGAAGACAGGGTCTTGCTAAGTTGCTTAGGGCCTTGCTAAGTTGCTGAGGCTGGCTGTGAACTCACGATCTTCCTGCCTCCGACTCCCAAGCCACTGGGATGACAGTGGCATGTGCCACTGCGCCCAGCTGTCCTTCCCAATCTTGTTTGAAAGCCCTTGTCTGTGCTCCATGTATCACAGATTTTAAGGAAATGTCTGGGTTCAAGCCCAGCACAGATGGGAGGCAATGCCCCTCCCACCTGTCCGTGCAGCATTGGCCAGTGACCCCCACAGAGGTGTCCCTGGAGGCCAGCAAGACCTGTGGGATTGACCCGCCTCTGGTGTGAGGCCCCTCCTCAGGGTCACCCTGGCCCAGGATCTGGGCGGTGCTTTTGTGAGACAGGGTCAATTTTCTGACAACCCAGAAGCACACTAAGCCTGAGGAGGTCGCGGAAGTGTCAGCGGAGGCTGAGACAGTGGCTTACAGCAGCAAGGGTCTTGTAGCAAGGGAGGACTCAAACTCTGGGCTCTGCCCTCCAGGGCCCTGTGGGGCCAGTCTCCTGCCCTGTCCGGGCCTCAGGAAGGGTGCACCAGGTGGCCTCCGGGTCCCTTCCAGGCTGAACACTCCAGTCCCTTGGCTTGGGCCAAAGAAAGACCACACAGGAGCCAGCGTGAGGCGAGGGAAAGATGAGAGTGGGCGACGGGCCAGAAAGGGATGGGGACATCCGCCCACAGGAGGGCAGAGGCTCGTGTGTGCCTACGGCCTGCAGCAGCGGAGCTGGAGGGGTGGGGGCAACGACCTCTCCATGTCACTTGTGGGGGCAAAGGATCTGGTGGGAAGACACCACGAGTCCTGGAGAGACGGGGTGGCCGCAGCACAGCAGGGCGCGTGCCAGGGCCACCCAACTGCAACCTGCATGATGGGTGGCAAGCTGCACGTCACATAGGTGTTACCACAATAAGAGCTTAAAATAACCCAGCTGGGGGCCCTGGTGCCCGCCAGTCATCCCGCGGCTGAGCGAGGAGGATCTCAAGTTCAAGGCCAGCCTCCAAATAAAAAATAAAAAGGACTATGGATGTAGCTCAGTGGTGAAGCACCCTGGGTTTAATCCCCAGTACCAAAAAACCCCGAAACCACAACATCAGCTTAGAGACGCCCTCCCCCAACAGGACTGCCTTCAAAACCAGCTCTAAGTTCGAAACTGGCCAATTTCCCAGACCTTGCAGTACCAGGGTCTGTGTGTCAACGTGTCAACCACTGGTGGCCACCTGTCACCAGACCACGGGATAAAGATGGGGCCTGTGCAGACATATGTCCTGCTATCTGGATAGCCCTAGCCTCCTGGACCCCCTTGGTGGCCTTCCTCACGCAGGCCCAGACTGAGTTCCCTGGCCACATCCATACCAACCCCTCCCCTGTCCTCTGCCTCCCCAGGCCACACACACTGGGGCCTCTGAGGACTTGGACGTCCAGGCTCTCTCCACCAGTGCGAGGACCTTCGCCCAGATGGGGCCTGAGCTGCGCTGATCTAACGGCTCAGGGTCCTAAGGTCTCCAGCCCCTCCCCCCTTGCCTCTGAGGAGTGCAAAGGGGCACCCACAGCACTTTGCAGGAGCCGTGTCCCCTGGCCAGTGGCTCATGTTTCCACCTCTATGGGGGGAGCCTGAAGTCGGCCATGGCCAGCGCAGTCACGACAGAGGTTGGCAAACCCTGCCCTCCAGAGTGCTCCCCTGCCATGGACGTAATACTGAAATAAATCATTCTAAGTCACAAAGGCCGTCCATTTCAGAACGCTGCAAAACCCGAATCTCAAAAGACCAAAGGCCCAAACTTCCCTCTCCTGAGAAGCTTCAGTCTGAAGTGACTAGACTTGGAAATCAGTTGTCAGCAGCCTGCAGGTGACAACCCAAGGAGTCCTCCCCTCCAGACCTCCTAGAGACCGAGGAAGGAAACAGCAGAGCTTTCCAGGACGCAGCGGGGACACAGGCTTCTCAGGACAGCCACTGTCCCAGGCCCCTTCACAAACTTCTATGGCCAGCCTTAATGTTTAAAGAACATCCCAAAGTTTTCAAGACTTCCATGTTCATCCCCTCATGAAGAGCTCTTAAGAACTGTGTAGGATAGAGAGGAGTCTCTCTGGTTTTACAGATGGGGAAACAGCCCTAGGGAAATTAAATGAATGCAGAAAGCCAGTTGTAAAGCTGGACCTGGAAGGCAGGAGGGCTGTCTGGTGGAGAATTCATAGGGCTGTTATGTACAGATTCACAGGTTGTGCACTGCACAGTCCAGGAGACACAATTCATTACAGACTGGGATTTGAACAGAGCCCCTTGAACTGTGAAATAGGAAGATCTTGAGGGCTTGGGTTAAAGAGGAATCAAATCCCTAAAATCGCTGGGATAAATTCTTCGTTCTGCTGTACTTAATTTCTATGCTTTGTAGTCTATATATCCGGTAGCCTAACACCCCGGCTAATCATGAGACAGCTCTTTTTGCTGGCATTTCAGGGAGGAAGACTCTTTCTTTTGTTCAGAAGACCTCAGCCTCAGGGTCCACAGGGAAGCCCCATGTCATCTCGGTGGTCACCAAAAGCTGGACTTTCACTCCATGAGGCCCTACGCACTCCATGGGTGAAGGGAACATCAAGGCCAAGCCAGACCCCAGTCCAGCCACAGCGGGTTCCCTCCAGCCTTCACGGCGCAGGGGGCTTCTCAGGGGTCCCAAGAACACTCTGCAGTGTGCAGAAAGCGGGCCAAAGGATCCTGGCCTTCCCACAGCCTCTCGTCTTCACCACTCACAGGCAGCTGGAGGAGCCAAGCACGGGGCGGGGCTCAGGGCTGGCAGCCGGTGGCCTGGGGACTCGGAGATGAGGCAGGGAGTGCCTGGGGGGAGCGCAAGGCCAGCCTGGCCACAATGGGGGCCCTGTCTCAGACAAAGAAATGGGGCTGGGATCTGATGGCCTCACCCAGGTGGGCATGCGCAGCTGGGCTGATCCGCCCTGGCTGGCCTACAGGCTGTGTCCACTCACTCCTGGGGACACCAGCTGGGGAAGGGACAAGGGCCTGGCCGGCAGCTGGGAGCCCGTCACCTCCCTCTACACTCCACACCGCAGAAGTCCCTGCGGCAGCCCCTGGGGACCCACAGACGCCCTGGCTGGCTCTGAGGGGACTTTTTTGGGACTGGAGCTGCCACCCTTCTCCTTTGGACCAATTTCTGACAGTGGACCTAGACCACAGGGAAGGAAAACTGGCCATTCCCTGGAGGGAAAGGCTCTATGCTTCCTGTCCTCCCTGGATGTCCTGCCACCATTCCTTCCAGAAATGCAGATAGCTTGGTGGTGGGGACACCCCTGGTGCCACAAGGCCGGAGTTTAAAACCCAGGCCAGGGGTTGAGGATGGTGTGAACTTGAGCCAGTCACCCCACTTCCCTGAGTGCGAGTCCAAGTTAGATGCAAAAGGAATCATTCATGGAAAAAAAAAAGGGGGGGTGCCAACTGCCAGATGACGGTGAGCTATCCTGGACACCTAGAAGTGACCCTGAGAAGAAAGGTGTCTTGACTAGATAAGGACAGGTTTCCAGAGCTTCCCTTTCTGCATGTGCAGAGTGGGAGGGTAACGAGGCCGGCCTCCTCGGCCCAGGGCAGGAAAGCACCCGTCAGGGTCTGTAGTCCCCCCAGCACCACTGTGGAGGGCAAGGGCCTCGTCACTGCAGAGAGAAACACCCGCCCGAGCCCTCGGAGGCTGCGGGCTCTCATGCAGAAGGCTGGAGGCAGCTGGAGGAGGCTGCAGCCCAGTGAGCTGCTCCCTCTAGGTAGGTGGCTCAACCTTCTGCGCCTGTTTCCTTCCCTGTCCACGGGGACAGAGACACGTCCTCACACCGGCTTATCTTCAGGACTGCCTGGGTGAACCGTGGCTGACCCCTGGCACAAAGCAGCCCTTACCAAGTGCAGTTTGTCACGTGACTCCTGACTGCTTCCTCGGGGGCTCCTATTTGAAAATGACGATGTGATCCTCACAGCGCAGAGAGGAACACCCCACGGCAGGAAGAAGCCAGAAAAGGGTGGGGGGGGAACAGGCACCCTGTTTTCAGCTTTAGAAGCCCTGGGTCTCTAACGACAGAGGCTGTGCGTGATGCAGACAAGTTTCACATACCGGTTCCAAAACAGCCGAGGCCCGAGGCTGGACAAGCCATGGCCATTCTCATTTCTGCCAAGTAGGAGGCTTGGCCCAGAGGCTGCTGGAATGTCCACGGCCGGGTCGCTGATGACCCAGGGTGGGAAGGACACAAAGTGCATGGGCCAGAGGGAGGAGGAAGGAAAGGGGGGCTGCAGACTCCCAGGGGCCCCAGGCCGCAGGCTGCAGGAGACACAGAAGGGCTCAGCCCTGAGTCTCACCCAAGCAAGGGTGCCCACTACCGCCCACCAGCTCTCCTCCCTCTGGCCAGGCCAAGCTGCCATGTTCAAGTGCAGTCTCCTTTCCTCTCCCCACAACCACTCCCACTCTCAGCCTTGGGCTGCAGGTCTCAGCGTCTCCTCTCTCCTGGCCACCAACCCCCAGTCCAGCCCCTCCTGCCTCCATACACCCAGGGAGCCCGGCCACCATGCAGAGTCTCGGGCATCTGCCTGCTCGCCGGTCCTCGTCCACCCACCTGGGCCCAGCCAGAGGCAGACCAATGACCCCTGCAGCACCAGCCCCGGCCACCTTTGGGGAAAACTTAGGTCCTGGGGAGAACAGTGGAGGGGCACCTTCCTGGTACCAGGGCTGGGCGCCCCATCCTCCGCCCAGGCAGGTTTTACCGACTGGGCTACTGTCACCTTGAGTGATCAAACTGAATGCCCAACCCCGCTGCCTCCCCAAGAAGGCAAGAGCCACCGTGCCCCCGCGTGGAGGCCCGACGGTGCTGTGGCCAGGGGACACTCACCAGATTTCACCCTGAGCTCCCCCAGGCAGCCGTACGCGTCCGTGAGCTTGCCATACTGTCCTTTAATGACTTCCTTCTCCTCCGGAGCTGGGGGGAAGCACAGGAGAGCAGGCATCAGTGAGCGGCTCCTGCTCACGCCCCTTCATTCACACTGCGCCTGCCAATCTGCTCCCACCCACGCGAGAAGGAGCAGGCAGACAATGGCTGGGCCCCCAGCCGCCGCTGAGCGGCCAGGACGACACTTTCCCAGGAAAGGCTGGTTCTCTGGAGGCGCTGGCAGCTTTCCGGGGGCTGGGGAGGTGGGATGGACCCCGGGGGCCAGTGGCTTGCAGCTGGGAGCAGGTGCCCTGCGCCTGGCCTGCCACCCCACCCCACCCCACCTCCACTGTGTCCTCTCAGTAATGAGTGAGACACTGGGACTGCTCCTGAGGTCTTTCCTTCCTGAGTGCCAGCACGGGGGCCTCATCCTGGAACTCCCCAAGGGCACTGCCTCCTCCCAGAGCTGTCTGAGCAGAGGAGCTTGGCACCCCAGGATGGCCCAGGATGGGGGCCAGTGAGTCACAGCCAGCTGTGGCCTTTCCCGCAGGTGGTTGGCACTGTCAGTGCCCACGCAAAGGCACAGCCAAGTTGGAAGGCAGAAGAGGAAAGAAAATGACCAGGGAAGCCCCTTAGAAGCAGGGAGTGCTGACCTTCACAGGATGCCACAGACTCGACTTCATGCTAACGGTAGGGGCCTGAGGACCACTTCTCAGAAGAGACCTTACGTGCATCAAACAAAATATCAACACACACGAATCCTGAAGAGCTTGCACTACGTGAAAGAAGCCAGGCATAATGACCTCTAAATATTCCGTTTATATGAAATGTCCAGAACAAGCAAATTTATAGAGACAGAAAGTAGTAATCCCAGTAGCTCGGGAGGCTAAGGCAGGAAGATCACAGGTTCAAAGCCAGCCTCAGCAAAAATTAGGTTTTACACAACCCAGTGAGACCCTGTCTCTAAATAAAAAATTCAAAATAGGGCTGGGGATGTGGCTCAGTGGTCGAGTGCCCTTGAGTTCAATCAAAAACAACAAAAAAGTGTCTGCTCAGTAGGGCATATCCCAGCCCCTTGGCACTTAGAAATACTAAACGGTGAAATCACCAACAAAAACATAAAACATGTACAAGAGGTGGCACTGACTGAGTCTCAAAAAGGGCACTTGCTCACAGCATGAGACAGGACATGCTCCACCTCTGCCAGGAACATGTGTATCAGGTGCCCCAAACTGTCACCACGCTCACGTCCACATGACCACACAAACCCCACGAGTCTTGATCTTGGGGTTACGAACAAGTTTTTGAGAGCATGTGAGTTTACAAATATGGGATGTGCAAGTAACGAGGGTCCCCTGAACAGGGTTCCAGGGCTCTGCAAAGACGTTGGGAGCCTTGCTAAGGAAGCAGCCATTCACCTCCGGAGAGCTACCGGAACACCAGGGCTCTTCACCTGGTGACAGGAAGTTCCCAGCAGCCACAGGAGCTTCAGGGACAGCTTTGGGAGAGTCTATATAATCTCCAAAATTGCATGCAGATTTTTAATGTGAAGATTCTTTCATTTTATTTGTTCTTTGCAGACATACATGACAGTAGAGTGTATTTGACATATTATGCACACATGGAGTACAACTCCCGGTTCTTGTGGTTATACATGATACGGAGGTACACTGGTGGTGTCCTCATATAGGAACCCAGGAAAGTCATGTCCAGTTCGTTCTGTGTGCAGATTTTGAAATGTATTTTTTGAGGCTAGAATCCAAGTGGTGACTGACCTTGAAAAAGCCAAGAACCAGCTTAATGAATTGGTTTCCCTCAACTCTTGACTTTTTTTTTTTTTTTTGAGACTGCAGGTGTAGTAACCTAAGCATAATTAATAAGATCACAGATCTCTACCAGCTGCCGAAAACCCCCAATGCTCACAGCTGAGCAGACTTTGCTGGCACACGGTGGGGGGTAATTACAGCAAATACAGCACCTATGAAATGGGGCTCTCAGGGTCCTTAGAAGAGGACTGGGAAGACACAGACCCAGTTGTGCCATCAACCTGCCTCAAAAACCTAGGGTGGCTGGGCATGGCAGTGTGATCCCAGTGAGTTGGGAGGCTGAGCCAGGAGGATCACAAGTCCAAGGCTAGCCTGGGCAACTGATCAAGACCCTGTCTCAAAATGAAAAAATAAAAAGAGCTGGGAATGCAACTCAGTGGCGGAGCACCCCTGGGTCCAAACCCAGTACTAAAAGAAGAAAGCCTAGGGCACCTGGGGGAGGTAGGAGATGATGTATTAGTCTCATGTTGCAGCTGTAACAAAACTACACTTGGCTTGGAACAGCAGATCGCTGACCTTAGATTCTCAGGTCTGAGCTGTGAAAGGGAGTCATGAGCCAGGTATGAGTGGGCCTGGGCTCCACCTGGAGGGTGCAGGCGGCTTGGTGCCTTCTCCAGCTTTGGGGGCTGCCTGCAGTCCTTGGCTTGGCCAGTCCTCCCTCTTCCAGTTCAGCAATCGCGACACTGACCCCTGCTTCCATCTTCACATCTCATTCTGTCTGCCTCCCGCCTCCACCTCCATCACTGAAGGACCCTTGTGAACACACTGCCCCCGTCCAGATGGCCCAGGATCACATCCCGGCTTGGTGGGGGGGACTAGGATGTGGTCTTCTGGGGCCTGGGTCTCCTGCTCTGTGTCCACAGAGGAGGAGTGAGGAGGAGGATGAAGCATCCTTCTTCTCAGGATCTGTTCCCAGGCCCACAACGAAGGTCTGCTGCAGGCAGTGAGGAGCCACTGTGAGGCAGCAGGCTTGTCCAGTGCCCTGCACTTCTGGAGTCCTGGGAAAGGGGCCTACACAGGTCCCTTCTGCACCTCCTCCCCAGGTGACAGGTGCAGGCAGGGCCAGCAGAGCACACAGCAGTTCTCCTTTGCATCTCCGCAGAGAGCTAACAAATGCAATAAAACAACTCTGACCCCAGAAGCATCATTCCAACCCCAGCTCTTCCACACAGCCCTCAGCCTCAGTGTTATCTGGTTCTCACCCTGTTAACCACAAAACAAAGAAACCTTTGTGCATTCATTCCACAGCGCAAACAAACCTGAGCAAATAACACAGAAGACAGGAAGTGCTAAACAAAGTGAGGTGGTCATGTGCACCCTCAGGGGTGGGAAACGGGTCTCTGGCCCTGTGGGATCCCAGATCGCATGGCCTCTGCCAAAGGCAAAATTAAACACAGAGGTCAAAAAGCCTTCATGCCCCCATATTTAAAAACAAACAAACAAGCAATACCCAACAGGGCCCTTCTTCCCACTCCTGAAGATAAACAATTTTTTTTTCTTCTTGGTACCAGGAATTGAGCCCAGGGCCACTCTCCCACTGGACTACACCCCAGCCCTTTATTTTCTATTTTGAGACAGGGTCTCACTAAGTTGGTGAGGCTGGCCTCCTGCAGATTACTGCCTCCCTCATAGAAATACCTTCACCACAGACTTAGCCGCCCACCTCTGGGTCTGACCATGGGGGAGAAGTACTGCTCCCTGTCATTACCACACTGCTACCCTGGGGCTTAAACCAGCACCACAAATGCATCCTCCCGGGCCTGGAGACATGGGGTGTGTGTGGGGGGGTCCTTCCTCATGTCTTCTAGACTCTGGTGTCTGGTTTTCCTTGGGGACCGTTGGCTTGTGGCTCATCACTGGAGTCTGCTTCTGTCATCAGTGTCCTCTCTCCGTGTGTCCCTGTGCTAGGGGCCCACCCTTCTCCAGTGTGACCTCATCTCAACAACTGGGCTACAGAGACCCTATTTCCAAATAAGTTTCCTTGTGAGGTCCCGCGGCCTAGGAGGTCAGTGCATCGTTTTGGGGGGCACAACCCAGACCCCGACACCTGGCCACCTTACTGGGGGAGCCGTCCTTCCCGAGGCTGCACTCCTGTGGCCATCTCTCCAGGCTCCTTTTCCTTCCCAGGCCTGGACCCTCTGGCCCAGCATGCACCCGCCCCCAGGCTGCAGCCCCCCTGGTGACCCTCCCTGCCCAGGGTGGCATCCCTGAGCCTCACCTCCCCACGCCCGTCCAGAACCACCCCCTGCTGGCCCCAGCCCCTGTACTTTCCCAGGTGGGTCTGGAGGAAGCAGGGGTGCCCTTGCTCGCCAGCCCGGAGGCCACAAAACATGTGTCCAAGCACCAAGAGGCAAGGCCGAAGGACGCCATCGGAGGGGCAGGACACACCCCTGCGCAGGTGGACAGCTGTGGGAGCCCGGGGCCTGCAGGGCTGTGGTTTTGCAAGAGAAACAGGACACTCCTGGTGTTTCTGTGTTGGCGACCAATCTCGGCTTATTTTAAGCTCCGCGTGGGCGGCCGCACACCTCTGCAGGCTGCGTTTGGCCGCCACCCGCAACTTCTGCCCCCTACTGAAGGCCTCGGAATAGACGGAAGCTGCCTGCCTGCACACTTCCTGTAGATTTTCCCGTCCTCCCCGCGGCCATGAGCACCCTTCACCCCCGCAGCCCCTTCCTGTCTGCTGCTTGCCAGGGCTCAGCCATGCCTCGGTGAACCCCCATCTCAGTGCCACAGACTGTGGCTGGCATGTTCTAGGCCCCAGGACCCCACAGAGAACCAGGCAACCAGCCACACCAGAGGGGAGCCGAGGCAGGCATCTGATGGTGGCTAGGAAGGGACACAAGTGAGGAAGGATGCGCAATGGCAGCTGAGGGCAGCCCTGGGGGGGTGGGAGGCTGAACCTGTGCAGGGGCAGAGGCAGGGCAGAGCCTACCAGGTGCCAAGGTAGACAGATAAGATCAATAAGAATGACAGGAACAAGGACTCCAGACAAAGAGAACAAGTTAGTGAGAAGCAGGAGTATGAATTGTGGTTTGGGAATAGATTTTACATAGTTTGATCTGAGAAAGTCTCACTACAATGGCGACATTTGACTGCAGACTTGAAAGAAGTGAGAGGGATGGCCCAGGAGATAGTGGGAGGAGGAGCACGTGCAAATGTCCAGAGGCAGAAGCACTACTGAAGTGCCCAAGTTGGAGAAAGTAGGTCAGCGTGACTGAAAGGTCA